AACATACCTGAGGCGCTACAATAGTTAGCCGTTCGGATTTGACACTCCAGGCAGTCTCCGATTGGGGCAATGCCAATCTTGTCAAATTTAACGCTACCAAAACGCAGGGCTGTCTATTTTCCACAAAACGAAGTCCTTTTGAGCTGATTCCGACTTTCGTGATATACCCATATCGATAGCCGACTGTCTCCAGCTACTTGGAATGGACCTGTCGTCCAATTTGAACTTCGGCAGATACATTGAATCCCTGGCCAAAAATGCAGCAAGGAAGCGTGGCATCCTTTCCAGGGTGAGCCGTTACTTTACACCGGGACAGTTGCTTCAGCTGTACCAAGCACAAGTCCGGTCGTGCATGGAGTACTACTGCCACCTTTGGGATGGCTCTGCTACGTATCAACTGGCCACTTTGGATTCAATCGACAATCATGTCAAGAGGCTTATAGGTGACTCGTAATTAGTAGAGGCGAAGCTGCAAAGCCTTGAACACCGCTGTAAAGTAACCTGCTTATCGGTGTTTTACAGGATATATCACGGAGAGTGTGCGATGGAATTACACGATTTCATTCCGCCTCCCCCTTTCCATCACCGAGGGACTAGGCGTAGGCTTGGGTTCCACCCCTATGTTGTGGATATTCCAAAGATTCGTACGAAGCGTTACGCTTCCACATTTATATGGCGAACGGCTAAGGGGTGGAATTCCCTGCCTGCAGACTTGTTCCCTGAACGTTATAACTTGGGCCTTTTCAAGGCGGTAAGTGAATAGGCATTATTTAGATGTGTATACTCCATAGATTTAGTATAAATCTATGGCATGCTCCATCGTCGACCTCATCGTCACTTTACATCTAGAAAAAGGCCACAAAGTTACGCTGCAGCATGCTGCGAAAATTGCTACGAAAATTGCTACGAGCGGGTTTGCACGATTATATAATATTTATATAATAATATTTATATGTTTATAAATATTATATAATCGTGCAAACATACATTATTTTAAAATAATCATTATGGATTTAAGTCGCATTAATCCTTATCATGAATCGAATGACAAAGTTGTGAACTATTTATTTACATTTATCTATTGTCTGTCACATTCACATTATTCATAGTATTTCTTAGGTTAGATTTGGCCTGATGAATTTATTCCTATGCCGCGTAAAGCTAATATGCAAAAAATCTGACGTTTGTCAGCCACAAATGTTGTCAGCCAATGTTTGTAATGTGTTATTTTCTGTTTTTAGATAATAATAAATATAGTCTTATGTTAAGTATTTAGTATACCTATGAAAATGTCACAACAGTTAATTAATGAGAACAGTAAATATATATTAGAGTTAGTATTTTACTTTATCTGTCTTAACCTCAAAAACTTCAGAATAGGTTGTATACATAATAATTAATATCGTGAAATTTTCAGTTTATTCTCGGAGCAGACGGTCGATTCGCAAAGTTTAGACTCAATATGTGTTCAAGTACAGAAGAGATTTCCGAAAACAGAGCATTTTAATCGTAAGTTACTTTTTCTTTATGTCTAAAAATACCACTTCATTAATGTTTCTATATTTTTTTTACTCAATAACGAAATCTGTTTACAATGGAGGGTGACTTAATTAATTACTTATTTATTGAGCATTGGTTGTGGAGCCATCAGCTTAAATTGGTAACAAATAATTAAGAAACTCAACTACATTTTTTTGTGTAAAATGTGTAACTGCAACCCGCCACTTTTTCAGGGAGGGTGAAGTAAACTGAGAAATTCGGTATCTTAAAATGTCATATAATTTATAAAAAAAATAAAGATAGGATCATTGGTTTAGAGGACTTGAACATGTTGTTTATGTTTATTTTAAATGATATTATTGCGTTCTAATGTTCAAACACTGTTTTATTATACTTTTTTTTTATTCCATTCGATCCGGTCTCTGGTAAGGATCAATAGTGTCTATGGGACCAACTGAGGTAAGAGTACTTGAAATGGCAGAAATCGCAAAAAATCTTTTACCACACATTTTAACTGAAAAGTTTTTGTTAGAAAGGAAACTGGCCACTACTCTACATATAAGACTTACTTAAAACCAAATTATAATCATATCACTATTATTTCAATTTGGAACAGCTTTGTTTTGTTTTGTCAATGGAGAATTGTCACTTTTCAAACAATTATTAATCAAAATGTTCTCAAGTGTGGAAACATATTAATTGGAACACATGGTCCTATCAAATGGCCACCGCGCTGTCCTTATCTGATGCCCTTTGATTTTTTCTTTGGGGCTATGTAAAAAATTAAATTTATAAAAAATAAATACAACAGTATTCAACAATTGAAAGACGCACTTGCAGCAATTTTCAATAGAAGAAATATCAGGGAAATAAAAAGAAGTCATACTATGGTAAGAAACCTGATATTAGTGATAATCATTCAATAGAATCCATCTGAGTAAAATTTCAGCTGCTACTTGCTCTTTGCTCTAGGCGGGAATCAATTCGAGCACTTACTATCATAGACTTTTTATTTTATTTTGCTTTTCGTTATTGTTTTTATTTTGAAATACATAATACGTTGCCAATTTGTTAGTTTCCTTATTGTTAGTCTCCTTAACTACCTAGAATAACTGATTACTAAATAGGTCCCTACAAAATGTATGGTTAAAAGTTTTTTTGCGATTTCTGACAATTAGAGTATTCTTACCTCTGTTGGTCCCATAGAGACTATTGAATTCGGCGGCGGCGGCACAAGGAAAAATGTGGCGGCGCTGGCGCGGCGCTCATGTCTCCTATGAGTACCAGAGTAACGATAATTTTGATGGCAATGCCCAGAATAACCTGACCAGAACCAACTTAAATTTTTTTTCCATAAATTGGCTCAAAACAGGGATCGAATCTGGAACCTCCTTATCAAGCGCCCATAGTACTAATCACTGTGCCACCGACGAGCATAAGCACACCCCGTAATCTGAATAATCCGTAGGTGGAGTATAGGGCTCGTTATATATAAAGCTACACTTTCCAACTCAGTGATAGAAATAGGACACATACTTCCCGATATGGTGGAAAAAAGACATTTATACCATTGTACGTGGACAGGTTCCAAAACAAAGGGAAAATTACGAACTGACCTGAATGTGGAAAATATAAAAGAGTGATCAGCAGTCTGAAAAATCTATAATATACAGATGGAATGTTTGTGCACTTTTGTGATGTACACCGTGGGAAATTTCCGCCGGAAGTAAAAAATGTTCAAAATTCAAATAAATAAGATGGCCCCCATACAAATTTCCAGGTCTACTATAACGGAAACTATTAGAGATAGGTATGAGGTGCTCGAAGGATTCATGCTCGAAGGAACCCGGAACCTCCTCACCAAACGCCCATAGCACTAACCGCTTTGCCACCGAAGAGCATAAGCACACCCCTTAATCTAAGCCCAATCACGCGCCGCAAGCCGAGCCCGACCCCATTGTAGGTGGCGTACAGGGCTCGTATGTTTTATAGATATAAATGCATACAAAGTATTAATATTTTTATATATTCAAATTAGTCCCTCCGCGGTCCTGATCCGATCCACTACTGTGTGTTATCACTGCTACACAGAGCTCCCAGGTTCGATTCTCAGACTGGGAGAAATATTTGTAAGGCTTACATTTATTTGTCTTTTGTAAGTATAATTTGTTGTTACGTTTCGCTACCACTCAGACCGCGAGTGCGAAACGCACGTCTTTTTCGTTTACACGGACATAAAGCTATGCAGTACCATGTCGATAAGCGGGGTGTCTCCCTTAGGATAGGTACACTTATTCATTGGCTCTAATAGTTGGCAGCCTTCTAGCCACCACAGGCTTTCAACAAGGCGAACAGGAATGTCCTTACTGAGGAGTTTAGCTTCTAGCCCCCAGGACTTCTGCGTTAAAAGGCATAAAGCTGTTGCTCCGCCTAAAATAGGCTCTTAGCTGCTCTGGCGGCAAAGTCCACGCCATTGCCTGTGTGGACATGAGAGGAGATCACATTGTTTATTATATCACTCCAGCAAATAACATCTATTTATAAATAACATCTTACCAACAATTTTCCTCTCCACAGTATGCCTCCTTCTCTCATCCCTGATAACTGGCGGAGACCTCTCCTTGCCCGGGCAACGCGTTGTCGCCCTTGTTCTCCTTTTCGACATGTACAAGTTGGATAACCCATTCAGCGCTTTGTTCCTGCACCTGCTTGAAGGCAAACCAGGTCTCCTGCCGCTGGCACCGCAGGAGCGATTGCTGCTTGGGCAATTGCATGGGTTCGCACCTACTAGCATTAAAGATGTGAGTATTTTGTATCCTGAAAAAATCCAAACAATTGAATTCTACACACATACATAGAGAGGATAGTATAATAAGACAAATAGTGTAAATCAATACAAACGTGCACGCCCGCTACGCGCCATGTTGCGTCCAGACGAAACTCGCCTTGCAGACTAACATTTCGCGTGTTTTAGTCAACAGAATGCTGAAATATCTCAAAAGAAAGGCCTACAGTGGTCACTTCCTAAATGATCGCCTTCGTAAATTACGGCGCGAACTTCGGTCGATGCCGCTCATGAGACACGATGCGAAAAAGATAACTCTTCTCCGATCAAAAGTTCTACCGGTACTACAATAATTTTTTTGCCAAGAGCAGCAAAGATATTCCAGCTTCAGCAGGAAATGTTTCGCGTGCCCATCATCCGGCGAGTGTGGTGGAATGCCGGGGGGTTTCGTACCCGTTCCATTTTTGCTAACAAGGCGTCAAGGTGATAGCAAAAAAATCAATATATCATTTTAGAGACTGTGGTGAAACTCCTGTCTAATTTATTTTACAACAAAGTATGGATTTTCCAGCAAGCAAGCTTGGTTAAGGGAAAGTTTGCCGGACTCCAGTCCTGATCTTAATTTACTTGACTATACTGTATTTTAATAATATCAGTACAGAGTACTAAAAAAAGCGACCTCAAAAGTACGTGGATTTATATCTATTTGCCAAGTTTTATTGGAATCGGTTACCGGAAAGTGCGCAAACCCGGATTCATCCCCTAGTTCGCCGCGATCCGGGCAGGAGACAGGAGATAATAAAAATCGGTTCTCACTACTCAAAGTATATTGAGAGAGAAAAACGCCTTGAATTGGAGAATAGCAAAATCTACCTTTAAAATTATTGCTCATAATAAAATTTAGGCGCTAATTATAAAAATGAATCTTCATGCGTGAACAGCCACCCTTAGAGGTTGAGATCTAGGAGGGAGATTTTCTTCAAAATTAAATGGGACCACCATGGAGGTACCCTCTTTCCAACAAAAAATAATCAAAATCGTGTGAACCGATTATATACCGGAGTTATCGCGTAACATACGTACAAAAGAAAGTAAAAAAAAATATACAGTCGACTTGAGAACCTCCTCCTTTTTTTGAAGTCGGTTAAAATAGAACTTTATTCTTTAAATTTTTATGTAACTGACTTTATTTCAAAATTTGTGAACACACGAAATATATGGTATGATACAAAAAGGGTATCACTGGATTTTCTTGCTAATTCTTCTCAGGGCAATCTGCCAAACGAAACAATTGCGTTAAAATTGTTATTTTACAGATTTTTAGTGTAATTTGCAAGCCTATGAAAAAGGTTTTTTACCGTCTTCAAAAAAGTAGGAGGTTCTCGCAATTCTACTGTTTTTTATTGTATGTATGTTACGCGATAACTCGTGAACCGATTTTGATGATTCTTTTTTGTTGGAAAGAGGGTACCTCAGTATTACTCCCATTTAAATACGAAGAAAATATTCCACTTTTTTCGATTCAATAAAATTTGGCAAATAGATGTAATTCCACGAACTTTTGAGGTCGGTTTTTTTGTACTCTGTACTGGGATTATATTCTAACATATTCAAATATTTCATTATTTACCACATAGGTGATGAAGAAGTCGGCAAAGCAAGTCATGCTGTCGGAAGTGAATCCCAAGGAGTTGGAGTTCGATTACTCGCCGCTGCAGGCTCTGGTAGCTGACAGGGTGTCGGAGATGAGCTCCATGGCCAGGGCCACTGCCCCAGCCCTAATTCCGCTTAGCGATGGGTATGTTGTACTTTTCAGAACAAAACTTTTGCCTACATGGGCCTTAATTCTCTTGAAACCACTGGTCATTCTAATTCCATTGAGATTATATTGCAATTATGATAATATACCTAACTGGGTGACGAAATACTTTCATAGATTTTTCATAGATGGCGTTACGGCTAAAAAGTCATTGACAAACGAAATACAAAGACCTGACAACAAGCACATAGAAAAAATCGTGAGGTCCGCTGGTCCGTTCCGTGGCTTAGTTGGCATAGACGTCGGTTCCAATCCGGCCAGATCGAAGGAATTTTTCCTAAGTGTTCCATCTTTGTATTAATAATTGTAACAAACTAGTGGAGTAATTTCACAAAAAATAATTGAATATCAATTCAATACAAATTTAATCATGATAATTCCACTGTTTAAAGGTAAAACCACGTAAGTGACATTTTTTACAAAAAGTCTTTAATGGTAAGAAAATCACTATATTTCTACAGGTGGAACTCAATAACAAGAAAGCTATAAACTCAATAAGTGGTTTATTTGCAAAAAGATGGTGATTTTCTTACAACAGTTACATAATTTGGAGATTTTTTGTGGATTTGTGGAATGTCACTTATGTGGTTTTAAGCAGACGATATTATGAATGTTATTCTGCCAAAATCTAGTTGCTATGGCAGTTGAGTCTCAATAGAGTGCAGTGATGGCAGTGATGGCATTAGTTCAGCCAATCATCAACAATCGATGTTGCCTTACTAAGTCTACCAGGAAATTATTACGCATATCTTAATTTTTATCTCGTTTAATCTATACAATTTAGTCTTCAAATTAAATATGTATTATATTAGTCTACTACACTATCGACGTCCCGTCCATTGAAGAGCAGAATACCAAAACATTGTAATGGCAGTTGAACTTGGCGCTCTGGCCATAAATCTGTGTTGTTTGAAAACCAAAATTTGCTATAATCATCAAAAAGTTAAAAGTCAAAAACTCATATCTAAACCTTTTGGCGGGCAGTTGATCCCATGACCGAGGTAATGAGTTATTTTGGATAGGCAGAAGTGATCTTAACTGATTCGTAACCAACCTAACTATATCCTTCCCAGGAGTCCCCCAAACCGCATGGCGATGAAGGAACTGCTCGAAGTTTTGATGAGCAACGAATACATGCCCCTGCATAGAACCTTGCAGGCTTCCGGGCCCATACCACCGCCTACCTTCCTACTCGATACAACGGAGATTTCGTTTAGTGACGAGGTGAGAAGGTTTTTCAAAAAATACAGAATTATTTTGATAGCTCAGTAACTTCACCTGTGGCTCAGTTGGTAAGAGCAATGCTGCGGTGCAGCATGATCGTCGGTCCCACTTTTCGCACAATTTTTCTATCTGTTTGATCTATCTTTGTAGTAATCATGACGAAGTACATTTAAAAAAGTTTGAAATATATTAATAATATAATAATAGGCCTGTAGTTGAATATATTCAACTACAGCTTAACCGAGTCGGTTCTCAGAAAGGTGTTTGGGAAGACATTAAGACGTTTGGATATGTCTCTGATATAAATACATGGCACGTTGGCACGGCATTGCTAGCGGTAGCATTTTAATGTTCCAATTAATAGGCACCTATATTTAGCAAACATAATTACCATTTCGTGTCCTGAACTTAAATGTTAAAATGTGTAAAATCATCATCACTTGAATTTGATAGGCAGTATGGAAGAACCTGGTGAATCGCGGCACGTACATCCCTCTTTACGACTCTGAGTACGAAGGCCTGCTGGGAGTCAAAACTGACAAGCGGGACAGGCGGCAACAAACCCAGACGCAGCCACAGACCGTTAAACCTCCAAAGGTGGTAACCCCTAATCACTATTGTTATATGTCTTTTATGAAGAAGCGTTGCCCGTTTGCCAGCAGCTTGCGATTGCCGTCGATAAAATATGTGCATGTACACTAAAGTACATACTAAGGCCAGACTGAATGCGAACTGAAAACACTGACACTCATGCAGTCTGTTGCCCGCGTTACATTGCGCGCCATAAAAAACAACCGTTTTTTAATACCTAAAAATAAAATATGTTTCCCAGTAATTATTTTTGCTTAATGTGTTTCAGATTGATGTCTTTTTACACCTTGTATATTGGTTTCATAAAGTTTTTTTTTATTAACCGATTTCAAAAAAAAGGAGGAGGTTCGCGGTTCGAGTTTATGTTTTTTTTTTATGTATGTATGTTACGCGATAACTCCGATATTTGTGAACCGATTTTCATGATTCTTTTTTTGTTGAAAAGAGCGTACCTCCGTAGTGGTCCCATATTTTAAAGAAAATCATCCACCTCTAAGGGTTCACGCATGAAGATTCATTGACTATACGAAATATTGGTATAGCCTCATTGACTTACAAATATATAGCCTTCATTTATTTCTCTCATGAGTTTGGGTGTAGTTTGTGGTTGTCGATGTGTGTGTCCTTGGCACCGGCGACACAGGGTTTCACTGGTGCGGGGCTATGAGTTTAACTACGACAAAAGCCGGCTGCATTCTGAAGCGTAGCAGCGGCATCTGAGCGTTTGTAGCGTACATTGGACACGCGAAGTATGGGTACACTTGCGGCGTCTATTTAGATATGTATTTGTGATGAATCCCCACGTATTTCCATGAATAAAGGACATTATCTGGAAAAAACTAAAAAAAAACTATAATATCCCTTCTACTGTCAACAGCAAGAAGAAAAGAAAGAGAAACCACCCGAAGAAAAGAAGCCAGAGGAAAAAGAGAAAGATAGTTCAGGAGTCATAACGGAGGCTAAGGAACTGACCCAGTTCGCTTTGAAGTCAGCACTCAGTGTTACTCAACAACAGCGGCTGCTAGCTCTCTTGGATGGAGATCCTACGCTGGTATACGAGATCGCTGTTACACCTTACCAGGTGAGTCCATTGTTGGTCACGGTGGAATATATTTGTACTAATTTCTTGTCGTGGGTAATGTGTGCAAATGCAACCTGCAACTAGAGATGGAAAAAACTGCTTTAAAACTTTAAATGTTTAAACGTTTAAAAAAAATCTATTATTCTATTATCTTTTCATTTAAACGCTTTTTAATCTTTTTAATTTCAATCTTACGAAATCGTGTCCCAAATAAAACCCTCGGGCCTTTTTTCTTCTCATTAGAGCCATGGTCGGTAATGAGAAGAATTTTGTTGTTATTTTTGTTTATAACATTGCTATTCACATTTGTAATTAATAGATTCAGGCGTTATTTTGCAAGTCCATATTAATAAAAATGAAAGCAAATTAATTTGCCACTCCGCGAACCCAGTGGAGGTTAAATTGTGCAAAATAAGTGCTTTTGTTGAATATTTTTTCATGCAGTTAATTTAACCACCGCCCCTCCTTATAAAATTAATGAAATAAATAATATAAACCGTATATACCATATATATGCTTATATACCATAACTGAAGTGGACTGCTAATCGCGATACAAGACACCGTGATCTATTGGTTCATGAGATGTCGCGCCGAGTACCAAATAGCTATATTTTTGTAACCAATTTGTTTTATAAGAACAAGCTGCAATTTATCAAAACTACTCGAATTTCTAGTGATAACAAACAAATCAACTAGATGGCGTACAATGGCGAAATCATTGTTATAAGAATTCTTTATCGTCTTCAAATGTCACAATTACAACTTTGAATAAAATAAATTCATAAAAATTCGTCCGACCGAAAAGAGGTCCGCTGGTTCGTTCCGCGGCTTAGTTGGCATAGCGTCTGCCACGGTTTGCTAGAAGACGTCGGATCGAATTTATTCTAGTTTTCGATCTATGTACTAATAATTGCAACAAACCAGTGGAGTAATTTCACATAAAAAATAATTGAATATCAATTCAACAAAAAAACTATAGTGAATGGCGACATCTCTAGCCAGGGCTGGTAGATGTAGCCGGGCGGCGTCGTGGTGAATGTTCACTGATCCCACGGCGCCGACTCAACCGGCGAGAGAGAAACCCGGGGGGGGGGGGTTTAGTGGGGTAGGCCCTCCAGCCTGGAGAGAGAGTCCCCACATAACCCCTGAGTCTCCCTGGGCTCAGGGGTATCCATAAAGATTTCCCCCCCGTCAAAAAAAAGGGCTGGTAGCTGTAAAGGTATCTAACTGGGTGACGAAATACATTCCTAGATTTCTCATAGATGGCGCTACGGCTAAAAAGACGTTGCCAAACCAAATAGAAAGATACGACAACAAGCACATCGAAAAATTCGTGACGTCCGCTAGTTTGTGGCTTAGTTGGCATAGACGTCGGTTCGAATTCGGCCGTATCGAAGGATTTTTTCTGAGTGTTCGATCTTTGTATTAATAATTATAACAAACTAGTGGAGTAATTTCACATAAAAAATAACTGAATATCAATTCAATAAAAAATTTAAATAAATTTATTTATCATTCAGTTTATTAAGTTTTTCGAATTAGACTCAAGGCGTATCTAAATCTGGAAATAAAAGCATATATAAAATAAAAGAAACTCAAATGACTAATTAGTGTGAAACCGGACTGATATCTACTACACTCAGTTTCTTAACGTTGAGCGACATCTAGCCGCCAAAATAAAATTGTCAGCACCTACGTACGGATAGGTGCACATACATTTAGTTCGCGTAATATCAAACGCACTGATTCGACCGATTTGCATTAAAAGATTAACTACTTTATTACATAAAATAAGCAGATTCCTTTTCCAAATATACTACGCGAGAAAGTGGTGAAACTGACAAAAAGTTCCCGATATCAGGGATAGGTGTCTGAGTTACCAATAGTCAGTTTTCTTTTATTAGAGCTTAACTTTATGCTTTTTGACCATAACAAATTATATAAAATAATTTCCTCTGAACTTTTCACTGCTCTATGTATTACGATCCTATCGAGTTTCCGACTAGACTCGAGTTCGACATTAGTGCTCGAGTCTATTTATGTAACAAGTCGCGCGATATTGTGGCGTGGTGTAGTATAATTAAGTATTAATATCATTTTTATTATAAATCATTGTGTTGGGTTTTTGGTTTTTTGTTCAATTCGTGGCCAGTAGTACTTATTCAATAAAAATGAACCCGACTTGTCGTACTCGAGACTTTGTACAGTAGAAGCTTCGAGTCGAGTTTGGAACTCGAATTTTGTTAAAAACTCGAGTTAGGTTTACGACTCGAGTCCGTGCTCCGAAGACTCGCGTTCGACCCGACTCGGAGTCGTGAGTGTTTTAGGCCACGGAACCGTGCAAAATTGAGTGAATTTGTAAATGTAGGCTCCAGTTTTTTACAACACTAGTCAGATTTTTTTAACATTTTGGGACGTACAATTTTCTTCAGCCGTTATGACAATTGGCAAAATTACAGCTTCCAGATCTGGTGGAGAACAACCCGCTGGTGGCAATCTCGGTGCTGCTGAAACTGATCCACTCGCAGCACATCACCGAGTACTTCAGTGTGCTTGTCAACATGGAGATGTCGCTGCACTCCATGGAGGTCGTCAACAGGTCTTTGAATTTAAATGAACAACTTTTGTCGCTGTACTTCAGGATAGTGTTGTTTGCATTAATGTTAGACTATAATTGGTTGACGACTACCATCTCAGTGAAACGTGACCATGACACCTGTAAAGTTGATTTATTTGAAAAAATAAACATACGCGAGTAAGATCCGAAAAAATTATTTAATTTCCAATTTGATTATTATTGTTTCGGAATACCTAATTGAAGCTGTAAAGTTAGCAAGTCTCTTTATGATAGAAAGAACAGTTATTTAGTAGTTAGAGGAAACTACATTTTGTTTTTAATAAATTAATAAAACGTCAGGACCTCGCTCCATTATAATCGTTATTTCAGCTGAATGACGTCTACTACCATAGATATAGATAAAAAGGGGAGATATTGTAATGTCGCTATGTAAGATCGGGTGCCGATGTCGCCACTTTTTAGCTTGTGTGCAATTCAAACTTTGCGCTCATTATATACCATAACTTAAAGATTTTGCTTAAAACGTGAAAACGACGTAACACAATTTTAAAATTTAACAAAATTAAACTTACAGTCCCTTTAATAAGAGTTATATTACAATATTTCAGTATTTTTCATCATGGTTCAGTCATTCACCATCAGGTGGCGTTTTAGTAAAACTGCTACTAGTATATAATAGCTAACTATTACACGTTAGATGGCGCTGAAACTCATTTATCGCAAAACTAAGAACTCACGGAGCGGTTTTCACCAGCGTCTGCCGCGGGACCGCAGCATCTGTAGAGTGTAATAGTTAAAGTATGTAAAATTAGTAGCACATTTCACTGCGCGTTTTACGCCTGTAGTGGTGACGGTTGCTCGCGGATTGACGCGATCACCTGCATGCTTAGCGGCCGTCGTCGTCCGCGCACTTTGGCGGTCGGTTCAGGCGCAAGGCGGTGCAGGCGCACGCGGGATGAGTTCTCTATTAACCGCGCGACTTGCGATTAACTCCCAGTAACTTCGCGGTCCGCTCCGCAATCGCAACGGTTTCGTGCCCGCAACCGCGGCGGCTACGTGCCCGCGCAAACTTGCAGGGTCGTGAGTATTGAAATAAAACCGCTGTCTAGCAGCACCGGCGTGCGTGGATGGAAACCGCTCCGTGAATTGTTAACCTTATTAACCTTAAACTGACGCTACTCAACGAGGGACCTACCTAATCGATAGTTAGAAACCATGTGGCTGTTTTTAATATTAAATAAATATTTAGTTTTTCATACTATACCTACACTGGTACTGGTGTATTATTAAAGTAATATAAATTATTATTATTTTCCTAATGGCAGCCACTAGGCTTGGGCCAGTGTCAGTTTTATAAGAACAACATAAAAAATATGGCGATCGTCGCCAGTGTCAATTGTCCATTATACGTTACCACGGGTTGGTGAAGCTGTCACTGTTAAGAGTAAACTCGAACCATCAACGAATTAATAAATAAACTTTTTTTATGAAGGATTTATGCAATTTCCTATAATTGTTTCTAATTTATTTTGCATGCACATGTAAAATAAAGCAGATTTTGTTTTATTTCTTTTTTAAATGCATTTGCTATCTTCGATCTTTCAATTTTCCTGCAACTTCAATCTAACCTTCTTTTATTTTGAACTCATTGGAAAAACATAAAAATTAAAAATACTCTACGTTTAGTCTACTAGTATAATGGAATTTAAATATCCAAATTATCTAAAACAATAATACACATACATTTTTCTTCAAGCAACAGCAACATACAAATTGACATCAAATTGAAACGGTTGTCCAAAGTATGAGTTGTGTTAAAGTTACTCGAAATAAAATGTTTAGTTATAATAATAATGAAATAAAAGAAATCAATTTGACGTGAATGCTTTTCGCTTCGATATTTTGGGGACTTTAATCACAAAAATCATAGTAAGAAATTCAAACATTTCAGTAAAAGTTTATTGTCGATAAACATCAGATAATGAACATCACTATATTTGAGTCTAGAAATTTCTGTGGAGACAAAAAGAAAACGTTGAATTATGATAGAAATAGTAACTAAAATGCAAATAGCCGGTGGAATGTTATCTCTCTGGTTTTAAAATTTTTGATTTTACTCCAATTTTTACAACGTGTATCGCTACAAGTTGGCATTTTCAGTTTTACGAGATATCTTGTATGTACGACGATCGCCATGTCACTATGGCGATGTTTGTAGGCGTGTCACCTTGATATGATCATTTTGATCATACCGAGGCGACACGAACCACGCCCCCATACCAAATCTCCCCTTTTTTCTATATCTATGTCTACTACCGGACATTAGTTCGTGTGTGACATTTGGCATTTTGACAATCTGGCACTCTGAGAATCTAACATTTTGCTAATCTGGCATAAAGCGTCAAAACGTATTTTTTTACACAGGCTAACAACATCAGTGGATCTGCCGGTGGAGTTCGTTCACCTATACATAAGCAACTGCATATCGACATGTGAAACAATCCGCGACAGATACATGCAGAATCGACTTGTCAGACTGGTCTGTGTGTTTCTGCAGTCGCTTATTAGGAACAAGATCATCAATGTCAAGGTAATTATTTACAAACAAGATTAACGCGTCTATTGTACACATTTATGTCAATCTGTCAACAATTCACGTAACTTAACTTATTTCTGCCGCCAAGCAGTAATGTGAGCTTACTGCGTTCTGGTTTTGAAGGGCAAGGGTGCTGGTGAAATTTCAAGCACATGGCACTTGTCAATTTATGTCTCAGGGTGACGGGCGCAGTGGCAGTGCCCCTCAGATCTTTCCGATTTAAAGAGCTGAGTGGCATTGCAACTGCTAGGGACAGGCGTGTAGCTTACCATCAGGCGCACGACTTGTCTTTGGAATATTCACAACAAAACATAACAATCTTATGGACTTACACGTTTTCCAAGGGTTGTGAACCTTCTTCCAAATGCAAGACTTCACCGTTAGCGAGAGCTATTGCTACTACAAATTCATACGTAACTTAGAAATGAATGACATACCGCCACAGAGCAATAAATACAGTAGAAGTGCTTAGTTTGTGTGGCACGTGTGCCAACAGCTCGTGGAGTTCCGCAGACTTGAGCTCAGTCCGCCATTTTCACTTTGTACGTTATGCTTGTGTCAATACCTCAACTCGCTGCTTTGGAGTGCACAAATTATAGTCGCACCAGTAATATTATCTGTGGTAGTGTTTGTTATCATCATTGGATCTTATTTTATTGAATTATAATAAATTTTCAATTTTCAATTTACCGTAATCATTTTTTTGTTACTAGAAACGAAAACTAACCTTATACCGTTGCAATATGTTCGCTTCCTTTTTGGAGATCTAAATAACATCTCGAATTCGTCGTCGTTCAGTTATTAACTGCTAGATGGCAGCACATTGATTTGAATTTCTACATGAAGTCTTGCAATAATATTTGTATTGATGGTACTGAACTGTCAACGATATGCCAATAGGGTAAAGTTTAAAATGTGTTAATAATGTAAATGTAATCGAAGCTTCCATTGTTTTTCTTCTCCCGTGGCTACCACCGCTCTTTTTACTGACGTGTCACTACTTTGTTTCAGGAGTTATTCCTTGAGGTGGAAGCATTCTGCGTCGAGTTCAGTCGCATTAGAGAAGCCGCGGCTCTGTTCCGACTGCTCAAACAACTCGATTCGGGGGACGCTGTGGTTCACAAAGATGCTAAGGAAAACTAGCTTCGTTACTAAATAAAACTTTCTCGCCAATAATATTAATTTAAAACCCCATTTTAATTATGCTAATTTCTCTCTCGTATTCATAACTCCAATCCACAGATCTTATATCAACTGTCTTTATTAATAATAAACACTCGAGTGCACATCAACTATCCCTCATTGCTACGCGAGTGCACGTCTACGATTACTCATTGCTACGCGAGTGCACGTAAACGATTACTCATTGTTACGCGAGTGCACATCAACAATTACTCATTGTTACTCGAGTGCACGTTAACTATTAACTATTGATTACGCGAGTGCACGTCAACAATGAATGGTAAGTGCAGAATTTTCACCACTTGAGATGGTATCCTTGAAGATGCTGATGATGGTAGTTAATTGAAGTAAATAGTCTGTATCTGCGTAGCATCCCACCGATACGCGCCAATACCGGGCTTAACGAGTGCTTATTATTATTACTGTGGTTATTCTCCGCAGTTTAGCATGGTGACTTCTCAAAAGGAGGGTTTACTACTAAAATCTCTGAACGAAGCCTCTGAAGAATTTTGTGAACCCTTTTCGATATGCACGTAATATCATAGACATTTTACTTAAACCTTAAATAAAGCAAAAGATAAATTCCTTGACTCATTTGTAATGAGCATAATATAAATGGGGCAAAGTTTTCCAATAATTGAAGTTTGTTTAGGAATTCTAGACTGAATTATGTTTATATGAAAGTACTGTAACACAACTTAATAAACACGCCACTAGTTCCATCGCGCCATCGCTAGATGGCATTAGTTGTACTCTGAAACGCGCTATCGTTTTAACTCCAATAGTATAAGCCATCTCATATGTTTTGTATTGTTGATGCTTAACATAAATGCTTACTACAGCTATAGCAACTCTGTGGCACTGAACGGTACTCAAGTTATTGAGACGTTTCGGTTCTTACTCCCTTGTTGTATCTTACTTAAGCTTCGGCACTTAACTTTCGTTTTCACGCTCGTGAGACGCACTGTTGGGTCCCTACCCGCATACTTTTTTGTTTTGTCTCAATTTCTATTCTACGCACCCCCTCCGCTCACCAGCGCTACAGTACTATTATGTTTTTGATTAATTTTCTCGTTTTAACATACCCAATTACCGGTAACTTATTTCAAATGTAACAACAATATTGTAGACACATTGTTCGTCTTTTAAAAATAGATCACATCCCAACATCCCAAGCTCAATTTACATTGTCGCGGACCGGAATGTAGTCTAATTTTTCTAACCATAGCATAATAAACCTTATAAGAATTGTGTAACATACATACTGGATACGAACCAAAAACAAGTTGCGCGCGGTATCTGGATCGTTTTCAAATAACCTCAAAAAATGTGTTCCTTTAAATAATTTTTGTATTATTACAGGAATACTAAATATAGTTTATTTAAAATGATTGCTTGTTTACTTAGCTTGTGTTACACATCAAAAGCCCACTTTACTAAACTACAGTAATAAACGAAAGTTAAAAAGTGGGTAATTTAGCCAATCGGTTCATACGAATGAGACGTCTCCCTAATTTAAAGAAATGAAGAATAAAAATTAAACACTCCTGCCCCCGTAGCATGGCTACGCATGGTGTCGCGACGCGCGCGATAAAATTGAAATAAGCGCGCACTATTGGCTTTTTAAATTAGATCTGATTGAGACAGCCAATAGCCCGCGCTTATTCCAATTTTATCGCGCGCGTCGCCTCTACCATGCGTAGCCATGCTACGGGGGCTGCTGAAAACAGTAAATATTTAAGTTTATCCTCGATGACAACATCGAGGATAAACTTAAATAACTTTCACGTTAGATACATACCGTAACGTTCCAATTTATTATAAACAAATATGGTTTCTTGGGAATACAATGTAAACTAAAAACGTCCTAATAACAAAAGTTCGTACCGCATCAACTTTCCCTTTCGCACATGTGAGAACCTGCCAGATTTGAGTGTGCAATATTTTATCATTAGTGTGACTTAAAATTGACAAGAATGCGAGCGACATGAATGATATCTGGTTACCTTTTTAATTGTCAATGTCGTAGAATATTCTAGATCGCCATAAAAGTGGGTGAAGTTTATAAGACGTTAACAAAATATTATTTAGATAGTCATACGCGGATGACTACAATTTTGTTACCAGTATTGAAATTTAAATTTCAGTCAGCCCGTGATCACGGCCAGTGCAACCTAGGTAGGTAGGTAGGTAGTAGTAGTCGGGAAACTAGGTAGGTGTAAAAATACCTATTCGTATGTAAACGCGTTTATTCCCGTTTCCAAATGCTATTAAAATTTAAGTCGGTTTCTTTAAAGTGGAGTTGCACAGTTCACTCGCTGTAAACGTTTCAATCACACTGAAACACCCGCTCGTCGTCAGCCCCGTAGTTGTAGTATATAGGCATTGTTATTAAGCGGTTTATAGTTGAGGTTATCGATAAAAAACATATTTTAATTTTAGTTCGACACAAGTTAAATGTTCTTTTATGAATGAAAAAAAAAAATTTAATAATAATTTCTCGTTAGTGTGCCGTCCTTCTCATTTGAGTTAATGTGAAAATGATTCGTGTTATCGCAATTTTATTCATGTGACCTAAAATATCGTTTTTCGTTGATTTGACTTAGACTTATTTGTGTTATTTTTATAATTATTGACTTTATTTATACGTAAAATCGAAAGAAAAATAAGTTTTAAAAAAGTCTTTCAAAAAGTACCATTTCAATTCAGAAAGTGACAGTCAATCATCTAATTTTGTATTACAAATAAAATTGACGTGAAATTAATTATGGTACATAGCATTACATAGCGTAGCATAGATTATTGTAACGAATCTATACATAGCATAGATTCGTTACAATAATCGCTTCCATTTCGTTACACGATAACGTAAATTGAGCCCAAAAAAAAAATACAACAATAGTTTGCATTGTTTGGCTTTTCAGCTGGAGAGATTTCTGATTTTTGTATATAAATGTAGGGCGTGTGTGTGTGTGTTATAAATAAGAGATGGTAATTTGACGCGCATATGTAAGGTATGGTCAGAAAATAATTTTAGCTCAGCGGAACTTCTTATATTTCATATTAAAGAGAAATGAATTGATATCCGGCTATTTACATAATTTAAACTACTTCCCGGCTATTCTTCAACGCCATCTGGATATGGAATTTTGACCTTTTTCAGAGCTACAATCTTTAATATGGAGATCAGCACACCTCTTGACTTATTGGTCCATGGTATACGTAATAGAAGGTGGTACAATGCCTTTAGAGCGAAGCCACACGATGCGGTGCGTCGGCGTTGCAACGCCTGAGCGGTAACACGGCCTTGTATTTTTTATTTATTTATTTTAATTACAACGGACTTATCCAATTACAGTAGCAAAAACAATAATAAATAATAAAAAAACATGATATAGAAGACAATAATTATGAACAGGTGGACTAGCATTAATTAAGTTATTTAGATGTTCTTCCATCCGTCCTTATACATATCACATTCAGGCTGATACACTAGCTATATTACATATAAATTGGAAGGACGTGCCACATGGCGCATTGAAACGGAGCGCGAATTGGACAAAGGATCGGGAGACGAAGCGGGGAGAGGTGCTGTGATGCGTATAAAGCCGGGTACTCGCTAGCGAGATGTAACCGTAACCGTGTTATACAACCAAAAATCATAGTGTGTACGTGGTTCGCGAGCGGAACGCGTGCGGTTGACAGTGAGTTTTAACTGCCTCTGTCCGAACGTTTACCGTGCCGAACGGTTCCGACTGCCCCGCAGAGGTCCCAGGTTCGATTCCGGGGCCGGGAGACATAGTTATTTCTCTCGTGAGTTTTGGTGCAATTTGTGGTTGTCTATGTGTGTGTCCATGGCACCCGCGACACGGGGTTTCCCTAATGCGGTGCCATGTTGAGTGTGCGTTACGTTGGGACATCGCCTTGCACCGGCAGCGCCCGTGTGGCATCGCTCTAACCGGATAATTTCCAGAATAGACCCTAAATAAATGTAATTTTTATTTTAATTATTGGCCGCCAGTTTATTGTCTATTTTTAGGATATATTTCTTGTTCTCATTTCAGATGATCGTAGATATAAGAACCAAGATAACTTATACATACATATGTATAAGCCTTTAAAGTAATTATTAGTAATATTTATTGTTTTACAGATTGTCATGGCGACGTGGGTTAAATGTAGAATCAAAATGTGTACTTTTGTATTTAAACAATATTTAAGTCAAATTATGTTCATGTATTTGATTCAGCAGAAAGAAATTCTGTGAGTTAACTATATGAAACTTCATGACCTTGACTACAGAGCTTTGTTGGTGCTGTTTCAAGCGTAACAAGCAGGGATCGGAATAGGTAGAGTTTTTTCGAAGAACATAGGCAGAAAATGGAGACTGCCTTACGACAATATTTTTTAGGTCCAGACCTTTTCGGGATTCGGAAAATCACTTAAGACAGGTAGGTACACTATATTTATCTTAACTTTGCTACGCACAGTGGATCGGATCTGCGATATTTCAGACATTGGGTTTTTTTCCACGATACCTCTTAAAAAAATCCAATCGAGAGATCTTATTGTCCTAATTAAATATTGTTATATCACATTTTGCCATAAATATAATAGTTTAGTAGGAAAAAAATAAAACGTACTTTTTGTATGGGACCATACATTTAGTGCCCCATCGTTACAAAGTCTTAGTTGATCCATTCCTTGGAATAACTACAAACGTATTATTAGACCTATCTTCTATAGATATACACACTAAACGCGCGCCCAAACCTACCTATTCACTACTTATACGCGTCAGAAAATGGGAAAAAATTGCTCATAAATACGATTGTTGGTTCAATACATTAATTACCAGTGATCGGAACAGGTAGGATTTTTTCGAGGAACATAGACAGAAAATGGAGACTGTTTAAGAGAATATTTTTTAGGTTCTGGATTTTTTCGAGACTCGGGAAATCACGTGAGTACATGAAACATTGACGTTATTTGGGGTAGGTAGGTTAGACTATATTTATCTTAACTTTGCGACGAGTTGTTGCAACACCAATTTTTCAGAATATTTAGAAAAGTTCCTACAAAAAAAATCATTAATTTTGTTTTCTAGAAGTATACATTTTACAAAAGACTATCTCCCGCCAAACTGGAAACAGTTACTTAATACATTTAATTAGAGTTAATAAGATTTGTATTACTAACATTCTGTTTTATGGATATTCCTGCAAAATCTTAGAACTATCGCAACGACTCTTCGTGTTCTAGGTACATGTTTTAACTTTCTTGACTCGATTTTCATGCCATAATCAGAAAACTCCTGCATGCTTAACACATTTTGCCAGCATTCTTTAAAATAAAAAAGGGTGCGACATATAAACAATAATAGACAGTAATATCGGAATAGATTGAGTATATTTACCTAAACTTCAAAGAGCAGTACACGTAGTGGAGTGGATAATATACCTTATTATTAAATTTGTTATTGATTATTATTTTACTATTGTTATTATGTTTCATTAGTATTAGGTTGCATTAATTGGACTGCATGATTATAATATTACAAATTATTGCATGAGAATTACTAAACCTAAGAAAACTTTGTATGCCATAAGGCGGATCACAGTGATCAAAATTCATTCTTGTAACAAATTTATAATTTGTGTATCACAAAAAAATAAATGATTTGATTTGATTACCGCACTCTGAAATACCGGAATGATAATCACAATGTTTTCATCCCGGAATTTTAGAAATCACGAATTATTTATTGGACTTTGAATACATTGATAACAAATAATTGTATCGAAGAATCTTGTTACAATTTTTAGGGTTCCGAACTAAAACTGTTTTAAAATAAAGTCTCTTGTTTCACATATAGGAAAATAAAACTAAATTGGTTGGTTTTTCGTGTTTATTTGGTTCAGTAGGAAATGAAAACAACTGTTTCGAATTCATACTGATGTTTTGTTATTACTTCAGATAATCACTGTAGTGATTCCAAAACTGGATCGACTAAAACTTTGTAATGATGGGGCACTAAAAGTATGGTCGCATACAAAAAATACACAATTTTTTCCTACAAAACTATTACATTTATGGCAAAATGTGATACGACGATATTTAATTAGAACAATAGGATCTCTCGATTGGCATTTTTTTTGGAAAGGTATTGTGAAAAAAATCCAATGTCCGCAATATTGCTGATCCGACCGACTGTGTCGCAAAGTTAAAATAAATATATTGTACCTGCCTGTCCCCAATTACGTCAATTTTTAATATACTTAAAAGATTTCCCGAATCCCGAACAGGTCCAGGACCTAAAAAATATTGTCATAAGGCAGTCTCCATTTTCTATGTTCCTAGAAATTTAGGTTAAAAAAAATCTACCTATTCCGATCCCTGGTAATAAGTAATGTGGTCATTATTGTGATAACAGATAATGTAATGCATTAGTTTTACACAATTTATAACTCATTATCGAACGACTAGCTAACCTGCTGTTGTTATCCTGTTATTCTGTTGTTGCATCGTGCTAACTAACAAGTACACAATAGCAATAGCTGTCAGAGAAATGGCGGTATTCAAATTATTTCACGGTGCTACGAGTTGCAAATCTTACTATATCTTTGAGTGCACAACATACAGTTATCTTTCTCATTGGATATGTTATTGTTATCTTATTGTTATAAGTCACATATTTGAAACTACGGATTTGTGCTTTATGCAATTTGAATAATTTCGATTTTAATATGTGATAGTTAACAGCCACCAGATGTCGACAACAGCCATTTTGTTTTATGTTAATAGTCAACAACAACAGGATAGCTGACAACAGTTTATAATAACAGTTATTTAAAAATAACATAGCAGTATATTTATTATTGACAAGTACAATAGCCGTTATTGCCTACATTAATAAGTCTTATTTTATACGTATCAATCCAAACTTGGATACAATACCACATTATCGACTGACGCAAGCTGAGGTAAACTGCTAGGAATGTTTTGTGACACAATGTGTTTAGATTTTCTGGTAATCAAGTTAACCCTAGTCGAGTCAAGGTTGTAATAAATGGTTTCTATTCTATTTAAGGCATCTGTATAAACCCCCATGACATGATAGGGTGTTTAATTAAATGTTTCAGTGAGCACTTGGAATGAATTGGAAAATTGGGACAACTATGAATTTGTTTGGGTTCTTAGTATTCTAAATGTTAAAATCTGAAATTTGATAACATTTAAATACTAAAGACTGTTCTGGAACCTGAGAACTATGTCACATGTTATTTTCAGCTATTGTAAGTAGGTCCATATTTTCAAACACCATGGTGTGGACAAATGAGAATATCCTTCTATTTTTTGGGATTATGCAGGCATAGCTCATTAGTATATATGAGGAAAAGACTTGCGCCAAAGATTGCACCCTGTGGAACCCCGTACAATACCGCAATATTAAAGTTTCTTGTGTTTACTATTTTAACGCGTTGTGGTTGACCCTGTAGTTCCTTATTAACTCAGGGGAACTCTTGCCATATCCAGGGTTTTCAGTTTTATTATAAAAACATAACACCACACAGCATATAAAATTTCTGAATCAGACTGCAAAAAAGTTTTTTCCATCAAAATTGTAATTTACATTTAATCCTGACCTAAAATTGAAAAGTAATTGTAAAGTAATACATATAGGTTGTAAAAATTCAATTTATTTGTTTTACAACTGTCACTGAAAGTCTACAGTCACTGTTAGTAGGGTTGTTTTAATAAGATTAAATTTCTCGCTAACTTTACTGTTTCAATAAATTTTAATCGGACTTATAGAGAAAGCTACTCAAGTAATTTGCAAATGTTTATTTAGTGAATTATACATATTATTTTATCGTAATTTAGGGTTCAAAATAGTGTGCAATAGCAAAATGTTCAATTATTCCTGCATTGTATTCGAGTTAAATGATTACTCATAGGTGTTTGTGTTAGGTAGCCTTATAGTACAGATGTAAAAAAAACTTCGCAAATTCATTTTATTTGTTTCAGTTGTTAACCTATAAGCTTAGCTACATCTTTCTACAGTCTTGTCAACCTGTTTTACAAAAGCATGTTTTTCTATTAATAATAAAATAATTCTGTGATATATGTGTGTATTACTTTTTTAAAATAAAATACTAAGTGCAGTGTATGTCAGTGCATTTATTCCCATAATAATACTACATATTTTGTGAGCGAAACACAATATTACTTCTAACTAAAACTGGCACAAGACAGTCTATTCAGCACCCTCCAGAATTTTCCGGATTTCATTATCAGTTGCTAAGTCCTTAGGCGTGCAATCCTCTTCATCTTTTAGTAAAGATGCACCTGCATCAACAAGAATCTTTGTTGATTTTAAATGGCCACAGGATGCAGCATAGTGTAAGGCGGTCTGACCACAGTCATCTACAGCATCTATTGGACAACCCCCCTTTATGGCTGCAGTGAGTGAAAGAGTGGCATCTCTGTCTGCAGCCCAATGTAGTGCAGTCAACCCATTTTCATCTCTTTCATGTTTCCACTCAGGATTGTTTTTTAAAAGTTCTGTGATCATGTCACCCATATTTTCCCGGGCTGCATCCAAAATGGAAAGCTCATCGAGATTTAAATCAGGTTCTGGTGTATGTAGCATAGAAGATACAGCCACCCATGTTTCTTTAGGACCAGTACTTTCCTTTGTTTCAGGTGATTCATAATCAGGATCAAACTTTTGTATTAACTTTACATATCTTTCTTTAGCTTCATCTTTTGGCATATCTCCCAGAGCTTTCCAAGCATCCCATTTTCGACGTCCGCGCCCATCCATCCAACCTGGCCTCGGAACATTGCACTCCCCTTCTAAACCTTGTTTGAAGTATCCATACAACTCTAAAAGTTGATTATTGTTTAACTTTGAGGTTATTTTCTTCAAATGATCAGCAGCCTTGTTAAAGGATATGTCCAAAGGTGACAAATCATCATCAGAGAAATCTGAATCTGAGTAATCTAGTGCCTTCGCCATTACATCTACTGTATGGGAGGAATTTTTAATTATTTTGAGGCTGAACAGTTAAATTGAGTCCCTCAAGAGTATGAATTTGCTTGTTGGTGGCATCAGCAGCTGAAGATGGACTCACAAACTCTATGAAACCATAGCCTTTGCTTAGGCCAGTGGAACGATCAAAAACTACTCTAGCATTCTGAACAGGGCCAAACTGAGCAAAGTATTCCCTCAGTTGACGATGACCAACAGTCCAGGGAAGGTTGCCTACATACAGGCGGGCTGCGCGCGCGGTGCTGGCCATAACCTATGCAGATACAATTTCCAGTAAATGCAAAGAGCGATCACCTATTAAGGCTCTGTAGTCGACGCCTGAGCTTTCGCTCAGCGAGTCCAAATCAAGCAGCGATCCTTTAAGTCCCCACTTCTTCAGCAAGGCTTCGACCGACCAGTCGCCGCTGCGTTCCTGATAAGAACACAAAAAACGCGCGTCAGTACCGTCAAGCAGATACGCAACGGTGCATAACACTTCCTCGAACTGTGTCGGTTCGTAAAAACAATCTGAGGCAAGTAATAAGTCTACTGGACGGAGGTTATGTACGTCTGCAAGAAACAGGCCCCACGCAAGGCCCAAAATTTCCACGTCTCGGCCTGGAGTTAGTCCATTAGCTTCACAGCAAGCATTTAAATGCCTCAACGATCGAGGTAGAGCAACACTATCGGTTAACGTGACACGAGCACCACACTTAGCGGCCAAAATCCCAGGTAGGCCAGTGCCACAGCCTAATTCGAGCACTTGTAGCCCGCGTAAGTGTCTTCTCTGCGTCCAGAGGTACCAAGCAAGAAGCGGCGCCGAAGGCCACGTGTAGAACGAGTAACCAGCGGTGAGAAGCTCCGGTATCACAATCTCCAAATATTCACCTCGAGTATCGCCGTTGGTTGTAGACTTGCCGCGGAACACGTACTTCTTCAGCTGACCATTTACAGAGCGACCATCGCTCATTGCATAAGCATTTCTTGATAAAACTAAGAGAATTTTGCCGTTTTTTGGCTATTTATGGGAAAAGGCAAATGTCAAACTTGGTAATGCCAGGTTTGGTTAATGCACTAAACATTGGCCTATGGAAACTAATTTTTTTCCCATCCTCTAAGCACTAAACATTGATGGTTATTTTCTTATAAGCATGTTTTAACATTGAATATTTTCCATTTTTTTAGCCTACATAAAATCATTGAAATTGATTATGTATGTTTTGAAATTAATTTATAGTATAAATAAACTTCATTCGACAGATAGTTTTTATTGATTGCAAGTTTTAGGTTCGACCTATAAAATACCCCATCAGTAGGTAATTTTCTTATTATGGCAACTCCGTATTTCAATTTCATTCATTCCATCATTTATCACATCATCCAATTATGACGTCAATGACATCATCATTCAATTACTCAGTCTTCTTGCTATTAAAATTAAGTGTAGCAATCATTTATTCACTCAATTTCACTCATTTATTTGAACCGGTTGAGCTTGGTGCCGCGTCAACTGAGTATTTTTTTAATAATTATAGGTAAAATATAACGTTCACATAAAATGTCGGTTGCTGCAAAAGGTAAGTAATTATTTTTATATCAATTTATAAATATATCAATACTAGAAACGTGTATTTTATATTACATTACTAAACTAACCTACTGGGGTCAAACTCCAGTGTTGATGTTTTTCTCGCTTTCTGCACTTTACCTCTTTTGTAGATAAATTATTTTTTCCCTTACCAATTTTTTTATTCGTGGAGAATAAGTTTGCTGTCCATAAGTACTAATAATTATTACTGTAAATCACATTGACCGGATATGAAAAACTCGAAAAAACTTGTGCTAATTTGTGACCGGCGCCATGACCCAAGTTTAAAACTTTTATTGGTTGAATAAACTTCACGTAACAAAATTTGCATTTTATTTACGTGAACGAAGTCTACAACAAACCAGTGTAACAAAATTTGAAAGCATAAACAATGCATAACATAAATATAAATTATTGTAACAAGGAGTTTGTATCACTAAGTAGCAACATTACTTAAAATATTTCACACAACTATCATCTCTCTGTTAATTCCGATTTTTTGAGGGAATTAACAATAGGTAAATGTATAAACAGCGGATTTATGGACTAGTACACCTCATAAATACCCACACTGGCACACAAATTGCTACCTGATCTATCACGAACTTCTCAAGTAAACTCATCTACTATTCCTTAGTGCATAAATACTCAGATGTTAGACGGACACGACATACTTGCATTACTCAGGTTGCATCGCGGAGCACAATTTAACCCACGCGCTATCATCTTCATGTATGCTTGTGGTTACGTTTGCTGCCGATGGCTGCTGATGACTTAAGAGACATGATGATGGCTTTGGTTGATTCAGCATAACAGTGAAAGTGTTGAATCAATCGCCTTGGGAAAAATATAATATAGTAAAATTGAGGATAAAACTGATTAGTCTATAGTGTGAAATCACGATTCCTAACAATTTAAACAATAAAAGAAAAAAAAATTGAAATTTTTCAAGAAAACCGCTGTATTCAAAAGGTCTTTTATGTAATTATGCCAAAGTTGTTTTTATATCAACTAAACTAAATAGTAGGTACACGTATAGTCTACCGTGTACATTTTTTCAATGGTTTTAATTACGTTTGTAAAAAAAAATATCTCAAATAAAACAAGTGTCTCTGCCACTCGACTCGCGCAATAATAGAATCGATTAAGTAAAATATTAGATGCTTAAAACTAAAACTTATCTTTATGGCGCGTCTTAAGAGATTTCTCTTACACGATGATTATGATGTTATTGCTGTTAATGATGACGAAAATAAATTCGACCGCTCCTACGTAAAATATCGTATGTCGAAATTGCCAAGTTTACAGGGCAGTGTTTTAAAGTTTTATTCGGCAAAGCTCGTTACTTTAAAACTCGTTCTCGAATAAAACTGAGAAATGCTTTAAAGAAACTGGTATCCATGAAAAGGGCAACTCAGAACATGAAGCATTTTTGAAGTGAACAAGGCGAGAAACCCTAACCGTGGTCTGAACGAAATCCTGCGGAACTATGCGCCTAAGCGCCTAGTCTCCGATTTTGACACTCCTATGATGTCAATACCTGGAGTCTGTTCAAGTTTAGGTTGTAATCTTTCTGCCAACCTAAATTTCGGCCACTGCATCAATCACATTGTGATATGAACATTCTTCTGGAGTACTCGAGTAAAAGACAAGGGAACTTGTGGTATATTGTGTAATATATGGTATACACTTTTACTGTTTATTAATGATATTCGTTAGAATAGTTTTAAACTTTATTTCCAAAGAATAGGACTGCATTTGTTGGTTTTTCTGTGGATCAACAAACGTACGTAGAACACCGTCAATGAAATCCTAATTCATTTTAAATGTAAGTAAATCTCCGTCACTCGTTATTCAGATAAATGTAATCTACCTTTATATTCGTTAACATCCAAAGTGATAAGCTGTGGGTGAACAGTAAGCGCATGTTGATACTATGCGACGTCATATATATATATAGTATTTTACTTTTATTGAAGTATTATAATTTAAAACATAAATGACAATAAAACATATGTATTGTCCAGATGTTGTATTCGGTACTTATGTTGTGCTAAGTAATATTCCACGAGGTCTTATGCAGTGTCTCCTGCTGTGCTGTTCTATTAGATACATTTGGAAGTTATTATTGTGCTTGCTTTTATTTGGTTTTGCTAAATGTCGCAATTTTGAAAATTCGTTCTTTTTGTGGTCGTACGTAGCCTTTTAGAGACAGACCTAAGGAAATCCTATGCGCTCATGTTTAGGAGAACATGAGTTTCTCCTAAACATCCGTCAATGAGACAGGTTAATATAGGGTTTTACTCTTTATTCTATAGGAATATTCATCGTGGGCGCCAAACGCACCCCTTTCGGCACATTTGGCGGCGTGTTTCGCAACACTTCGGCCACCGAGTTGCAGACGTATGCGTTTAACGCTGCTCTCAAAGAGGCCAATGTTGCGGCCACGCAGGTCGACACTGTTGTCGTTGGTCAAGTTATGTCAGTGAGTATGATACTTTTGTATCGAGGAAATACTTTTCCACGCGTCGTATCGTCGTATTAGTTGAAACATTTAACGAACGCAATCATAAAAATCAATCATATACATTGTATAGCTACCCAGCAACTTTTGATTCCCAGGCATCTCAAACCGACGGTATATACACGCCTCGTCATGCAGCACTCAAGGCTGGCATCCCTAAGGAGCGTCCTGTACTCGGTGTTAACAGGCTCTGCGGATCTGGTTTCCAGTCCATTGTAAACAGTGCACAGGTATGAAAACATGACCGGTGGCGAACTTAGATCTGCAAGGGTCACAGTTTCTGATAAGTATAATTTCGATAACCAGGACATAATCACCGGTGCAGCAAAAATCTCCCTAGCTGGTGGCGTAGAAAACATGTCTCAAGCTCCTTTCGCCGTGCGAGGAGTCAGATTTGGCACAGTCCTGGGCAGTACCTATGCATTCGAAGACACCCTGTGGGCTGGTCTCACTGATACCTACTGTGGTCTTCCTATGGGAATGACTGCGGAAAAACTTGGTAGTCAATTTGGAATTACTAGAGACGAGGTTGATGACTTCGCTCTGAAGTCACAGCAGAAATGGAAGAAAGGTAATGAGTATTTTTATTGCTGGTTACTTAACATCCAAATACATTCTAACGTTCTGTGTGGTGCCGGTAGCCAACGATGACGGAGTATTCAAAGCAGAAATTGAGCCTGTGAACTTGACCATCAAAAAGAAGCAAGTGGAAGTCTCAGTAGATGAACATCCTCGTCCACAGACCACACTCGAAGGTCTAAAGAAGCTGCCACCTGTTTTTAAAAAGGAAGGTCTTGTTACTGCTGGAAGTGCTTCTGTAAGTTGCATTTGTGTTTCCATTTTACTTTATTATATATTTTTTAAGAAGGTTTGGCCGAGACGGTAGGTCGATATTGGTCTTGTTTTACATTACTCATGTCACGTTTTGCTTAATATTTTAAAGCCTGATTCATTGCTGCGTAAGAAATACTGAAATTTTAACTCAAAGATTTTCACAATTTACATCCCATACCTGTTCGCATTCGCTATCATGTATTTTAACATGGTTTTGTACCTATCTGATTTTACAATAAACACCATTACGGATCATTAATCTTACACAGTTAAACATTAAACACTTGCATTAAAATTGCAAAAACGTTATCTACTTTATCAAAGCAAGCCAGAACACTATTACCGGAAAGTATGTCATTTTTAATTCGTTATGCTCCCTTTTTGGAACTTCAAGCTGACAAATTAGCAATTGTGGCAACCTAATAATATTTATTCAGTCACGGACACTTTGCAGTCGTCTCCTAGCTGTAACAATGTAATAATGTTAAAACATTATCCCCAGGGTATTAGTGACGGTGCAGGAGCTTTAGTTCTGGCCAGCGAAGACGCAGCAAAGAACCTGAAACCCCTCGCCCGACTGGTCGGCTGGTCGTACGTCGGTGTAGACCCCAGTATCATGGGCGTTGGTCCCGTGCCTGCGATTGAGAATTTGCTCAAAGTTACAAACACGTCTCTTAATGATATTGATTTGATTGAGGTAAGATTCTTTAGAATAATTTTTCAAACAACAAATGTTCACCGTTATTCACAGCCCCAGGCATCCACTACGATCAGGTTCTAGACTCACCACCTTTAACCTTAGGATGGTAACAGGGGTTACTCTTCACCCCAGACAACCAATCACATGCTAATATCTCGAATGTGATTTGTTGTCTCTTTCTGTCATTTCATGTATTCTCTTGTTTTGTCGTTCGCAATTAGTAACGGTTGCGCGCGGGCAGCGAATGGACGTCGCTTCGGAGATATAGGTATGTGTGGGGTGACGCGTCACCCCTGTTACTATTTACGTGTGAATTTTTTTTGCATACTCAAATTAAATATGTATTGTTTTAGGTAAAAAATGGATTTTTTAAGTGATGAACAGGTTGGAAATATACTAAATAATAGTGATGAAGATAATGACGAAGAATTTTTGATGCTTGAGACCGAAGAAACGTCAGATTGCGAAGACAACATCTCAGTGCATTCGGATGAAGAGGATGTAATTTCTGGCTCAGATGACGATGATGTGCCATTGTCACAAATGCGCGGTAATGCCTTAAGAGGAAAGAATGGCCACCTCTGGTCATCTGTTGCACCATCTTCAAGTAGAACACCTCAGCGTAATATTGTTAGCCTCCAGAGAACTCCACAAGCAATTATGGAAGGTATTCGTGATGAAAAAGATGCATTTATGTTATTATTCTCTAAGCCAATTGATTTGATAGTAAAGTATACCAATCAAGAGATTGGAAGACGTGCTCCTAAGTACAAAGATCAGCGATATACTAATCAAACTGACTCGATTGAAATCCAAGCCCTCATTGGTCTATTATTCTTTTCTGCTATCAACAAAGATAATAGAAAAAGTACTAAAGAAATGTGGTCGCTAATGACCTATATACAAGTCTATAATGTCTGAGAGTCGATATCAATTTCTACTTCTGTGTCTAAGATTTGATGACAAAGACAGTCGTCATAAAGAAGACCGATTTGCTCCAATTCGAGAAGTTTGGACAATCTTTATCAACAGTTGCAAAGAGTCTTACAAGCCAAGCGCCTTCGTAACTATTGACGAGCAGTTATTAGGTTTTCGAGGAAAGTGTCCCTTTCGCGTCTACATTTCTTCAAAACCTGACAAATACGGGATGAAAGTTGTAGCTATTTGTGACGCTAAAACTTACTATATGTTTGATGCCATCCCTTATATAGGCAAGGGAACCGAAGCAAAGTCCGCAGCAGACTACGTCACAAAATTAGCAGATAGCATCAAAGGATCTGGTCGAAACATAACCTTTGATAATTGGTTTACATCAGTGCCACTTGCTGATTTACTACTGAAGGATTACAAGCTGACTTGTATTGGAACATTGCGTAAAAACAAACGTGAGATACCGCCCTCGTTTTTGCCGAACAAGAATAAGAAACCTTTGTCTTCCCAGTTTGCATTTGATAGAGAAAAGACATTAGTATCTTTTACTCCTAAGACTAACAAGTCTGTTATACTGCTGTCTACTATGCATTACAAAGAAGAAATAAATCCATCTACAAGCAAGCCAATCATAATTGATGACTACAATGCTACGAAGGGAGGCGTCGACACTTTTGATAAAATGATGCATAATTACTCGACAGCCAGAGGCACCCGTCGCTGGCCTCTCAGGTTCTTCTTTGGGATGTTAGATCAGGCAGGCATCAATGCTATGATATTGTACCTCAAGGCTAAAAAACCTAATACACCAGCTAAGAAGTATAGAAGTGGTTTCTTAAAAAATATGGCCTTGCAGTTGGCTAAGCCACATATGAAAAGACGTTTACAATCAAATTTACCTCGCGAATTGGCTAGCACTATACGTGCTATTCTTGACATTCCAGAAGAAATTCCTGAAGGCGAACCCCCTTCAAAATTACAGAAGCAAGCCAGATGTGTGTTGTGCCCACGTAAAAATGATAAAAAAGTCAAAATTGTGTGCACAAAATGCAAGAAGCCAGTATGTCCTGAACATAGAAGAGAAATTTGTTTGAGCTGTGTTTAGATTATATTTTTAATGTTTTTGTTTGTTTAATTTTATTGAAAACTGATTGATCTCGGAAAAAAGTTCCTATTTGTTTGCTTAATAATTAAATATAAAGTTAATTCCTTAAAAACTGTGTTTTATTCACTACTTGAAGGTGTGAAGGTGCGAATGGTAACTGGGGTGACCAGTCACCCCAGTTACCATTCGCGTTTCAATAAAATCTGTTACTATCCCAGGGTTAACTTGCTTTCAATGAGTTTTTATCTTTAATTCGTAGACAATTTGACTATTCTGTTTATATTATTACTACTATGCGAGGTCTCATCACGCCTTGAACCTCTGCAACTGCGTAGAGATGTTGCATCGCTTAGCGCCTTTTACCGCATGTACCATGGTGAGTGCTCTGAAGAGCTGTTCAACCTCATCCCCCCTTCCCCGTTCCTGCTCAGAAGCACGCGTGCTGGCCTTCGTAGTCACCGTTTCACTACCTGCCGCATTCCATCGCGTACTAAAAGGTTTGGTGGCTCCTTTCTCTGCCGCACGGTTGACAAATTGAACTCCCTTCCGGCACATGTCTTCCCTCCCTCTTATGATATGGGGTCCTTCAAACGAGGCGTGAAGAGGCATATTGTAGGCAGGCAGGGTGGAGGTGGCTAGTGCAGTGAGGGTTTCATCGCTGCACTAGGTTCCTTCGCGTTTGGATACCACTTTCCACTTAACATCAGGTGGAGTGGAGTCATTTGCCTGTCATGTATAAAAAAAAAAAACTATGGTTTGAGTACGGACTTTCAGATAATAAGTTATATATAAATATTTGACATCATCACAGACGTTGCTCCGATCCCGAAGTAACGAGACAATATCGTCAGTGTTTTCTAGAAAGGGCGAAAGCGGCATTTTGGATTTTTTTTCAGAGAGCATGTTTTAGTTTTTCACGACTATTTTCAAATATTTACGTCCTGTTTTAAATTGAATTTTGAAACGCAAACTTAATTAAAACCCAAATTCTATAAAACACCGACGATATAGAAAAGTTACTTTTTCTGGATTGACCGGAGGTCCAACCTGGGACCTCAGAGATGTCGCCATCCCCGTGTTCAAGCCACTTGACCACGAAGTGATATTGATTTCATTTGTATATACAGATCAACGAAGCTTTCGTAGCCCAGACCCTCTCTTGCGCGAAAGCGCTAAAACTGGACATGGCCAAGCTGAACACGAACGGCGGCGCCACTGCAGTGGGACATCCGCTTGGTGCCAGTGGATCCCGAATCACTGCACACTTGGTGCATGAGCTCAGGTAATAATTTGAAAAGACCCAAATGTAGCTCTTAATCGGGTTAGTTCATTGGCAAAATGGCATATTTGTTGTTATTGATACAAAGTTAGACTCGAACCAGCGTCTGTTGCCACAATTAGGCAACAGACGCTAGTTCGCGTCCATTCCAAAGTGGAAAGTTTTCTTTGGGTTTTTTAATTTTTTTTTGTAATACTAAGTTAATGGGAGTGTTATAATAGTATATTGTGTATTAAGGGCGGTAAATAAGGAATTACGAACGAGACTATTAGAAAGATGAAGACAGAGCTTTCGGAGTCGAGATTCGTAATGCCCGTGACACTTACACAATCGTTTTCATCACACTAGAACGTAAATAGTATGATTACATGCAGGCTACCTTTGCCTATAATGCCCCAAATAAAACCCTCGGGCCTTTTTTCTTCTCATTATAGCCATGGTCGTGTAAGGGGAAGAAAAGACCCGAGGGATTTATTTGGGACATAATAGTCAAGTTAGCCTGCATGCAATCATATTATTTACGTGCAAGTGTGATGAAATAATAATTAAAAAAAAGATATTATTTTAATACAATTACTTTACTTTCAGACGCCGCGGTCTTAAGAAAGCGATCGGAGCCGCCTGCATCGGAGGCGGTCAGGGAATCGCAGTTATGGTTGAAGCTGTCTAAATAAGATCAGATAACATCACGCTCATACCTGAAACACAACTAATTATTAAGTATGTAAGTGTAGGTACTCAACTACAAAAGTTTTGGTGCAGTGGTCACATGGAAAATTCCAGCAACTTGGCCTTGACACTGCCGTGTACGATAAGTGCTGTCATCTTTAACACCGCTGAAAAAGCATAATATATATGATTTACCTGTAAAAGTAGCTTGTACATATTAGACTGAATTGTTTTGAAATTTTATATGAAGCAACATTCGCAATCAGATGGATTTTCGAGTGTGTATTATCTATTGTAAGGAGACGTTTTATATTAAAAGATTATATTTTATCTTTTATTTTTAAACAATAAACTTATATTTTTGTACTTAATATCTTTTATTTCTTAGTTTCATGTTTTATCTAAGTTTATCTTAGAAATTACAACAAAAAAAACAACCTCCTTTATCTTTATATTTATTTACACATGGCGGTGGCGCAACAAAAACCTGATTAAGTTCATGGTTTATTCATACACTACAATTCATTGATGGGAGCTCGTAACCACTAGCAAAGCCTTTTGCTTACTTATAACGTGCCTATACTCACTTCTTCTTATAAATACCCATCACCCGACTTACGACGACCGAATGAAGAACCAAAAATACAAATAGTGTCAACAATCCAAACTAATAAGTATTATAAATGCGAATTTTTGTGAAATTACAGGCATATGGGAATTGTGAACTTATGTGTGACGGGCGAAGTGGCAGTGCCCTCAGATCTTTGCGATTTAAAGCTCTTATGGACAGGCGTGTCGCTTACTACCAGGCGCACGACTTGTTCGCGTGTCACTTGATTAAAAAAATAAAAGTAAAGTGACTATGTTACCGTTTGACGCCTAAATCGCTGAACCAATATTCATGAATTTTGATATAGATATAAATGGAACCTAGGAGAAGGAGATAGGCTTCTTTTTGTCACAAAATAAATCTTAAAGGGGGTAAAAAATATACTTTTTTATACGGTTTTTTTCATAATCCAATATTAGTACCAGTATAGGCTGGACTCCCACTCCCAGTGCTAATAAAGAAAGCCCTACTGTAAATAATATTTTTATTAATTCCGCATAAACCAAATATGCACAGATTTTTTAAAACTGGGACAATATGAGGAAAAACGAAACCGTTATGTGACACAGGGAAACTGCCCTAGGCTGCTAACATATTGTCTGCATGTTTGCAATTAATGCGTGAAGTCGAAATCTCGACTGCAAAAAGATGATAACAACTTCATACAATAATTGCATGCGGTCAATGTCGGCTGTATGAAGTCGGTTTCGGCTGCATGCCGTTAATGCGTGTAGTCATTATCCAAGACCTCATGCATGAAGTTGACTACGATTTCACGCAAAGATAGAGTCCAATCTTTAGCAGCATTAGGAACCATTAGGTTGGCTGACGTAGTAATTTTTTGGCCAAGCGTGAGTTTTTCATAAAATGAATAATATTGACAACATTTTTTTTAATGCTGATCGACTTAGTTTCTATTAAGGATCATTTCATTATTTCGGAAGAAAAAAATCGAGACATTCTGTTGAGCAAATTTAAAAAAAACTGACAGTTTTGCAGAAATGGATCGAATTAGTAAGGACGGCGTGACAATATCAACACCTTCGATTTTATCGTCATGTTTTTACTGACTTAAGGCTTACTAAGGAATACCGGGAGCATCAAGAATAGGTACCACTACTGGCTTAAACTTACTACAGTGAACCAAAATTTGAAATCTGGTACAGGTTCTGGCCAATTATGTAAAGCAGTCGTGGTGGCGACTCGCTGCAAATTCTAAACCAGCCAAATTCCGAAAGACATAGCTTTCAAAGTAAAATTGGGCGTGGCAGTGCAATTCGCCAAGTCCTGAAATACAAAATATTAAGCAGAGGTGCTAACAAAAGTATCCTGGACATGAGTAGGTAGGTACGTACATATATCAAATGCCAATCATAATTTACCGGTCAAAGATAACACTCGGTGCGCCATTATATGCAACTCATTGTGTTTATTGTGGCCCCTGATAAAGTTATCTACGAGTAATGAAATTTGATAAGTAGGAATTTAGGTACAAAGTCTAAAGTTCGAATTATTCCTTGATGGACTTTGCACGACAGCTTTATCAGCATTAAAAAATTGCGAGTCAGGCACGATCAGACTTTATGCTAACTCACATAGGTACCATATGCCTACATAATTACTATAAACCCTTAGGTTAGAGTAACTAACAATGAAAATCTTGGTTAATTTTATCGTTTTATCGAGATTCAAATTTTTCTTGTTCAACCTAAAATAGCCCATTCATTACCTGCATGGCAGTCCGCCACCCAGGCAGGAGACAGGCTCACACGCTATCCTGCGTATGGCCTACGTAAGGAGTCTCGCAGGACGCATTGCAGGATTGCAGGATAGCTTGCACGCTGCGACTACATTCATAATCCTGCAATACTCGGCGGATGGCAAAGCGGACTGCTATGCAGGATAATGAAATACTTAGTCAAAATTAAGAGATACGGCATAAACTTGGATTATAGTACCTTTTTACATTTCTTCATCATCATATTAGCAGGAAGACGTTCACTGCTGAACATGGACCTCCTCCAAAGATTTCCACACTAGCCAGTCGAACGCGACGTGCATCCATCGGTTACCTGCCGCCCTGGTCATCCGTCCATCTAACATTTGTTACTTATCTGTATTCAAGGAGTTCGCGTGGAAAAGGTATTTAACTGTAAAAGGAAGACCTGTAATTTCAACTGCTGTTAATTGTTAGTGAACTAGTTTGGTAATCAAAGCTAATTGTCTTGCGTTGATGAACCTAGGGGTACATGTAATGTATGTTCATCATAAGCCTATGAAATATAAAGTTAAACATGAAAAATTCATTTCTAAGTCTGTCATAAGTAGGTATGTTACAGATTGCACTTATTAAAAGATATTCTTCTCATCTTACGCCATTTTCTTCCGTGACTTTCTTCAGTTCAAAAAAAATTCAAAATTCAAAATTCATTTATTCACTAGATAATAATTTTACAATGTCCGATGTTGGGGCTACTTGTAAGTAAAATTTACTTGTGTTAGAAGCCCCGCTCCTCAAAGTTACATTTTTATTAACAGTAAATAAAGAATAAAAACAAAACAAAATACACTATGAACTAAGTTTAAGTGTGTGTGTGTGTGTTTTGTGTTGGTGTCTTTGAGTGCCTGTGTTGGTGTGTGTTGGTGTGTGTTGGTGTGTGTTTGAGTGCCTGTGTTTCTGTGTATTGGTGGGCGCACGTTTCTATGATGTGGTTGTTTGCATATAAATGTATGGGGATAAGACAACTTAATTAGACTAATTAAGTAAATAATACAAATGAGTTATTCACCCATTTTTATTAGGGCCTCAATTTCATCATATGTCTTTATCCTAAGCCAATCACCTAATGCCTTTTTACATTCTCGGGAGGTTTTCGTATAAATATTTGCTGTCTTGTTAACAAGATTGTAAAGATAAGTGGAGAGACCAACAAATTGTCTTTGGGCATAGGTGGTACGAACTCTAGTTACGGCAGCTACCTGATAATGGCGTCGTCTGTCGAGAAGTGCATGATTTAAATGCAAAGTTTTGTGGACACAGAGGATGGTGTGTAAAACATATAACTTCCTAACAGTCAGGACATTTGCTTGTTGATAGAGAACCTCTGTGGAGAATTTGTAGGGTTTAAAATAAATAACTTTCAACAAGGATCGCTGAGCCTTTTCTAAGTACAAGAAGTTCGTTTTATTTGCTCCGCCCCAAACTGGCAAGCAGTAGCTCATTACAGATTGCCCCAATGCTATATAAATGCTCCTAATAAGGCTTTTGTCTAATACATGCCTGAGTTTTTTAAATATCCATATAAGGTTTCTCACTCTAGCCGTTACCAGTTCTATATGCTGGTGCCACGATAATCGTTGGTCAACCACTATGCCCAAATATTTTGTAGACGCGACTTTTTCTATAGCTTCACAAGAACACGTATCGAGATTAGCACAGGTATGGATTTTAATTGTAAAATTGTTGTTGGGCTGAGTGGTACTGTTTATGGTGAAACAGATGTAATTGGTTTTTGTCATATTCAGAGTGAGCAAGTTTGAATTAAACCAGTTTGCTATTTTGCGAAGTCCCTTTTCTGCAGAGTTACGTACAGATTCCCACGAATGACCAGTGAACACAACTGCAGTGTCGTCAGCGTAGCAGAGGACGTGTCCATTTTCTAGTTTCATTTTACATAAACTATTAATGTAAATTAGAAACAGGGTCGGTCCCATAACGGATCCCTGTGGAACGCCAAAAATTACGTCCTCTTCCTCGCTGACGATGTCGCCTATTTTGACACGTTGTTTCCGGTCGTGAAGGTAGTCCCCAAAGAGCTGCAGTTGTGTACTTCTGATGCCAATTTCCTCAAGTCTGCGCACAAGGATAGGAATTGAAACGGTATCGAATGCATTTTTTAAATCTAGAAAAACGACAACGCATCTCCTTCCAGAGTCTACCTGGGTGACAATTCGTGAGGCAAGGGTCGATACTGCATCTTCTGTGGATACACCTTGGCGGAAACCATATTGTGTACTTGATAGAATATCATTTCTATTCAGGTAGCTCACTAGTCTGGAGTTCATCAGCTTTTCAATTATTTTGGAAATAGCTGTTAGAACTGATATGGGTCTATAATTACAGGGAGTATTTTTGTCTCCACTCTTGTGCACTGGTGTTATAATGGCACACTTTAATGCTGGTGGGAAAATGCCTTGCTCAAAGCAGAGGTTAGCCAAGTGTGTAATAATAGGGACGACATGTTCTGAAGCCATTTTTAGAAATTTGGTAGGTATATTATCCCATCCAGGTGCACTGTCGCCCTTAAGGTTCATAAGAGTGGAATAAACTTCTTGGCAGTCTGTCTTTAAAAGAACAAAGGAGTTATTCATCAAACATGCATTTGGTTGTGAATTAGGGAGCCCAGTACAAATATTCTCGGCCAATGTTCTGCCTACGTTAGAAAAATAATTATTAACAAAATTAACTGATTCCATAGGCGAGGATTTAATTTGTAATAATTTTGAGCTAATACTTTTGTTCTTTTTGCGATTTGTGAAATTATCAATAGCACGCCATAGCTTTTTCGGATGTTTTTGAACATTATTGAATTTTTCCCTATCATACTTTCGTTTTAGTTGTTTAATACAATTTGTAACAAAGTTTCGGTATCTTCTATATGTAATTTTGAGTATATTATTATCATCTAAGTCCGTTCTCAACTTTCTTTGCATATCGTTCCTATTTCTGATACATCTAAGTAGACCGAGGGTCATCCAAGGTTTTATCAGACGCACATTACATGGGATAGGCTTTAATATTGTGCTCTCTAACAAACATCTCTTTAGAGAATTTATCAAAAGTTCAGTTAATATAGTAGGGTTGGTTTGTAAAAGAAGTTCGTGTAGATTGCTATTTCGTACAAGAAGTAAAGCTTTGTCATAATTAATAGTTGTTTTTGTTTTGGGGCATAAGTTATTTCTGTTGATTATATTTGAAATTTTTAGAAAAATCATGTAATGGTCAGTTACTGTTGTGTCTAGAACGGCTACAGCAGCAGATACATTTGTCATATCCAACTTCAACATGTAATGATCCAAGCAGCTGCTCTTCCTGGTAGGTAATCTGTGGCCAGGTAGAATGCCACGCATTGCTAGCATGTTAAGGTACTTATTTCTGTTTTTAACTACATGTGAATGTTCGTCAACCTTAGGTATGAGGTTTATATTTAAATCCCCTGCAATAACAACGTTTTTAGCACTGGTTATAGTTGCGAGATGTTTGTCAAGAGAGTCAAGAAATTCAGCCGCATCTGTATTTGAAGGACAGCGGTAGATTCCCAGAATAATTACGTTTTTTACGGTAATTTGTAAACATGATGCTTGCTTTAGCATAATCTCTTCAACACTAGTCGAAAGGCAATTATTTACATAAAAGACTACTCCATCGCATTTATTTATATGTTTTGTGGTAAAGAAACCAGTGTAGTTATCCACATGGGGAATTGATTTGTTGAGATTCAGCCTACATTCAGTTAAAATTAAGACATCTACTTTAGTCTGGAGTTTGGTCAATGTAGCCAGAAGGTCATCAAGGTTACAGTATATACTACAAATGTTTTGGGAAATAATTTTTAGATCTGCGTTACTTATGTTTATGTAATTTGAAATGTGTTCTATGGGACAAGCATAATTCTCCACTATCGCAAGTTCGTCTAATTCGTTTGAATTTATAAGATTGCTATCCATTTGAAATGATTATGTAGATGAGTGTTTCAGAAGGTAATTCAGTTCTACACAGTAGATGAGTGATGGCTCTATTTAATAAACAGTTGATAACAGCAAACAAGAATAAGTGTGTCTGGTGTTTTATAAAGTTTTGTGTTTGTGTTTGTATCTGATGAAGTGTCAGTACTACATTTTTATATGATGTAAAGTATATTGTGTAAGTATACGAAAAAATGTGGTTTATTTGTAATGGTTTCATAACGTGATTGAGTGTGTATGTGAGTTTTGGTTTATGTGTAAAGTTATGTTGTAGATTTTGATTAAGTTGAGCATGCAGTATGTTACAAAAACAAATATGGCCGACATAAAAATAACAAAAAACGCTAAAAATATTAGACAAATACAGAACACACAAAAATGGGTAAGGACGCGAATGCAGTATCAGAACTAGTCAGATTTTTTGTAATAAACTGTGCACTTGAGACTCACTTTTAATTGCGATTATTGGAGACTGTTCATCCTTCCTCACGTAAACCCTCCCATATGCAGTCCAGCAAAACTTAAAACTTTTACTTTTTGACAGGTCTCGTGCAAGGAAGTATAACCGAGCAGCCTTCGCAGTGAGTTGTTCAGAGACATATACAGGATTGTCTGCATTCAGTTGAATCGAGTTCCTCCTACGTCGACATATTAGGCGTTTCTCGCTGTTATTACTTCTATTACGAATATATAATATCTATCTCGATTTTAGTTCCTAAACGTGTGTCAAATGATATATATAAGAACATTAAAATAAACTTGAAACAATTAGTTTATAATTGTTATTGATACAAATTAGTGTATATTGTTGTAACTTACTATACCTTTAAGGACGTACTATATCTTTCCTGTACGTCTGGCATACCCTGGGCAAGTAGAAGATGCCTTTCACCACGATGACAAGCATTATGGCGTATGCCATCGATACAATAACAAGATTGATGTAAAGATCGAACGACACTTCCATCAAAGAACAATTCCATCGATCTGACTGAACTCGAACCAGCTTCTGTTGCTACACCGGGGCCACTGCTCTTAAGAACATCACTAGTAAAAATATCAAAATATTTAATAAAATAAACATCGGCACCACCGCAGAGCTAGATGGACGACATCCGACGACATGGAGGTCGGAACTGGATGAGTCGAGCACAAGATCACCAATAGTTAAGAAGATGGAAGAGGCCTATACATTCAAGATTGAATCAAAGAAAGACCGCACTGATGATAATGATCAATGTATATAGGGAATAATTACTTCAGTGGGTGGTTTTGTGTAAAACTGTGAAAATTTTGTAAACTCAAAACGTTTTCAATTTTATACTTTAATTTAAATACAAAACCCAATAAGACTTTATTCTTTCATGTTAGATACCTAGATGAAAAGTGCAACAAGTCTATTCAACATTAAACCCAATGGATAACAGAATGATAATCATTATCCACTACTACGTACCGTACACTATCGTCCGGGCCTCGCTGCCGGAAAGACGTGTACCTACGCTTAAATACGATAAATATGTCTGTTGCTCTAAATAAAGGTATGTTTTTGTATATTATTTTGATAACAATTTTGATTGAAATAGGCTTTAAATATAATAATAACTATCTATAATAATAAACATTTATACACACTAAATGGAAAGTAAGCGTTCTGTAACATTCCAAACCGGTTTTGTTTCTACAATAGGAGGTGAATCCTATACCAATTACTTGTTCTGTGCAAACGTATTGTTTATAATTATATAATAACACCGGTTTGTGTTATGGTTTTGTCATTTTTTCGATTATGATGCCAATTTAAAAACATCCACGCAAGATAATATACTATCTCTGTGTTGATACAGTAGTAAGTAATACCACGTAATACTTGTAATACCAAATGTCGTAATTGAAATAATTACCTATTTAAAATTGTAAACAGTATAAATTTGTAACGATATTTGTTTATCTTTGAACGGAGTTCGACGTCCTATTGCCGCTTATTGACCTTGATTATGACAAGTGAATCGACAATAATAGTAGAGCGGAATTTAAGAATTGTTACCTTTTACATTGCTCTCAACGCTTACTACGAAAACTTTGTAATGTTTTATAGTGTTTCCTTACAAATGTGGCAAGAGATACCTACCTATATTATTGAATTTTGCCTATAAGAAATCCGTACAAGTTAATGAAAACAACTTGGCATGTGCGTAGGGGAACGTGGGGTATTGGGAGCCCGCGGGTAATGAGAGCGGTGTTAAACTGGACTTTCCCAATGCTCGTATTTGTGCAAACGGCACTCGTATATCTTCGTTAACGTTCGACAAGATTCGAGTCCCGTGGGCGCCCCCGTAGAACCCCGCGTTTAGTCGTATGAGAGGGTTGTGTGTTTTTCGCTACGCACTTATAAAATTTGCTAAATTTCATCATCCCAGGTAGGCATTAAAATGCATAGATACTACATTGTATTTACACTAGCTATGTCACCATATCTATCAAATTTTAGAAGTTATGCTTGAAATCACAATAAAAACAGAAATGTTTTTACTGTTTTATTCCTTTTTCAATTCGATGTTACGCGGGTAATGAGAGCTATTTGGCTCTCCTTACCCCATTGCAATATTCACTGGATATTTCTTTAACACTTTCTTGTTTATTTTCATTACTTTTTAACTTATATATATATTTTATTACTTTAATTTTTTTTCAGACTGATTATATATAATGGCTCCCATTTGACATACGGGATTCTTACCGGCTCCCATTTCACGAACTGTGGGGTAATGAGAGCGAATGACATGTTTTAGTTTTTTCTTTTTTAACCAAATATTTTATTTTAATTTCACATTTTTTCTGTGATTATCTAGTACCCAGATATGTGAAGCGTACGTTCATAACTAATACAAATTTAAATTATCTAAATTATGACTTTTATTGTCAGTTTTCCTTAGTAGGCTCCCATTCCCCCACGCTCCCCTACTACTGTGCCCTTATATCCTCTTATTACAATAATCCAAAAGATAAACACTACGAAAAAACCACATCTAGATAATGTATCGAAGTCATGCTTATAATTTTGTTTATAAATCACAGGTAATGGCATCCTAAACGTAATATTATGTATAGTCAAAATAATTCAACAACAGAAATCAAAAACAAAAATATGAAAAAGACACCAAGTTTGCCACAGAAAATCAAGTGAATTTGCTTCACCAATAAAACAAATAAGATCATTAAGTAAGCGTCAAGTCGTTTCGCCGTCTACCACCTAGTAGTTATTTATATTTATTTTCCTAAAATTATGCGGTGTTACGTACATAAACTCTACGTATAAGCTCAAGTGGTTCCTCTTGCTAAGAACATAGAGCTTTATGAGCTATGTTGTTTAAGAGCTATGTTGTTGAAGTAGAAGAGTAGAAATTGAAAAATGCTACTTTGAATAAAGATTTTAAATTTTTACATTTTATTTGATGAATTAATTCTAAATATATTACTCCTTTTTTATGATATCAAGTGATGGGACGAACAAGTCTTGCGACTGATGGTAAACAACACACCTGTCCGTAACTGTTCAGTGCCACTCAGAATTTTAAATCGCAAAGATCTGAGGGGCACTGCCATTGCGCCCGTCACCCTGAGACATAAGTTGACAAGTCCCATGTGACTATAATTTCACCAGCACCCTTTTGCTTGAAACCCGGAACACAGTAATGTTAACATTACTGCTTGGCGGCAGAAATAGGTAAGGTGGCAGTACTGCCCTGGACGCATTCTTTCACAAGGGGCTCTACTGCTACTAGTACCGTTTCATAAAATGGTGTTACTATTAATAACCAACTAACATTTCAGGTATCTTCATAGTAGCGGCGAAGCGAACGCCATTCGGCCGATTGGGGGGCGCATTAAAAGATACACACCCTTCGGACTTACTTGCCATTGCCGCCAAAGATGCCTTCAAAGCTGGCTCTGTCGATCCTAGCATCATTGATACCGTTAATATTGGAATGGTCAACGTGGTATGTACGGCTTTTCAATACTAGTAGTTGAGCATATGTTAGGTCTCCTCCTTCAATAAAACTAGGGACCCCCGTAATCTTGCGATTTATTGACACTTACGATATAATTGGAAGCTATGTCCATCTGACTTAGTTCCGTAACCTAAGTCCAAGATATGGATGAACGATGCGTACAAATCTTATTAGAATCTAATATATATGCCGATACGATGTCTCCCATACCGTACCGGCCCTATTAAAGCGCGGCGGACGCCCCCGGCCAATCAGGGCTCTGGAATTCTACACGAAATTCGGTTGCATTCGCTCCGACGCAAAGTTACAACACATACACAGTAGTGTACCAGAGAATATTGGCAGTATTTTTTATCTGTATGTTTACGCAGATCGAGACTTTTAACGTTTGAATTGTACTGACTATGTTTTATAGTAGGTTGGTAGTCGTTATAGTCTTAAACTGATCGAATATTTCAGCTAAGTGGATCGTCAGACGGAGGTCTGGCCCCTCGTCATGCTGCCCTGAAGGCCGGAGTACCCCAGGAAAAGCCTGCTCTAGGTGTTAACAGACTTTGTGGTTCTGGATTCCAAGCCGTTATTAACAGTGCTCAAGTAAGGACAATTTTTTGTTATATCGTTGTATGTTACGGGTTTAATGGGCAAAATTGTAAAATCAGAATGTTGAATAAATGAAAACGTCTTAATGTCAATTACATTGACCCTAAAACTAAAAAAGTTTGCCAGATAGCGTATTTCATATTTCATTATTTCCACAGGATATCCTAACAGGAGCATCCAAAGTATCCCTTGCAGGTGGAACCGAAAACATGTCCGCAGTTCCCTTCGTCGTGCGTAACATTCGTTTCGGAGTTCCACTAGGAGTAAACGTCAATTTTGAGGACAGTTTAGCCGCGTCATCATTGGACACGTACTGCAACTTCACCATGCCGCAGACGGCTGAGAACTTGGCTGAGAAATACGAGCTAAAGAAAAGCGAAGTTGATGATTTCGCTCTGAAGTCGCAGCAGAAATGGAAAGTTGGTAAGCGAAAGACTTAATTACGAGCTGGTATATTTATTCTATCTCACTTAATAACTACCAAAGTATGCACATCAAACATATAACCCATACCATCGCAGGAAACTTTCTCTTGATGACCTTGAGTTGTACGAGTTATAGGCCTGAAAGAAAAAACTACTCCCTGTAAAACTTGAAAAATTACAATTCCAAATGGTTTTAAATTTTCTTCCAGCTTACGATAACGGGGTATTTAAAGAAGAAATGGCGCCCGTGCCAGTTAAGATCAAGAAGCAAACGGTTATGGTAGAAAAGGACGAGCATCCTCGTCCAGAAACTACTATCGAAGGTCTTTGCAAATTACCTGTGCTCTTCAGGAAAGGAGGCGTTGTTACGGCTGGAAACTCTTCTGTAAGTTCACTGTAAATATACTTTCGATAGCTGCAGAGTAATTAACAGCATTATCGCTGATTATGAAGATTTCATTTAGAACAATAACACACTCATGACTATTTATTTTTCTTAGGGAGTAAACGATGGCGCCGGTGCTATAGTTCTGGCTGATGAAGAAGCGGTGAAACAGCACAACTTGAAACCTCTAGCGCGCCTTCTTGGGTGGTCTTACGTTGGAGTGGACCCTAGCGTCATGGGAATTGGACCTGTGAACGCCATTAAGAATTTGCTAGATGTTACCAAGCTGTCTTTAAACGATATCGATTTAGTAGAAGTGAGTCAATATAGCACAAATGTTGTACAAAAATACCAATTTGATGACTTAATTAAATAAAACAGTACAGCTTTCTACAAAATCTCGTAACGCTATTTCAGATCAACGAAGCCTTTGTTGCTCAAACCCTGGCCTGCGTTAAAGAGCTTAACTTGGACATCAACAAACTGAATGTAAACGGCGGAGCTACTGCCTTGGGACACCCACTCGGAGCTACAGGAGCAAGGATTACAGCTCACTTGACACACGAGCTCAGGTACACATGTCCAATAACAATCGATATGACAATCTTAGACCACATGGGTATTGTAGCAATTTCTCGCTATGCAAAAGTTATCTAACTGAAAGATTATTGAAAAGGGACCGGTGAAGATCACTTCAACCACACGTTACGATTGTCGCTTGGGCGTGAGCGCTGTCACTCTTCAATCTGTGGTACCAGTCTCATACTTGTTTTCCTAATAACTATTTAGATTATGCGTAAAATTGTTTCGTTTCAGACGGCGAGGTCTAAAGAGAGGAATTGGCTCAGCTTGCATTGGTGGCGGACAGGGCATCGCTCTTCTTCTTGAATCAGTTTAAACCAGTCAAAATTGCAAACCATGAAACCAAAATCAAAATCTTTTGACTTAAATTTGAAAGTTACTTTATTCTTCTTCCTGTCCTTATCCCACGCTAGGTGGGGTCGAAACATTGACTTACAAATAAATGGACTACGGGTCTAATACAAAAACCACGAAAAAAATGTCCCAAGTCAACCTATTTAAGCGTAGTGACATGTCAAGGAATATGTAAAAGCTAAAACGTTGAATTTAAATTGTAATGTCATCGCAGTACTATCTAATTTTGCTTGCTTCGCTGTCAGTCGAACAAACGAAGACTAGAGCGTGAATGACGCTCTGTATACGATTTTAACGCCCTATAAGGTCGGACATTTTTTAGCGCGGACCCGACGTCCATATAAATGTAAGTCAATGGGTCGAAAGTGACACTTACTTAAGAAAATATCAGTGTCAAAATAGTCATTATATTATAATAATATTTGAAGTTTTTAATGAGTTTTTATAATTAAATTGTTTAACTAAAGTTGAATTTTCATTTGCTGTTAACGAGAAGATGTTTGAATGGTCGAAAGTGTCAATCTTAATGTTTTCTAGACTGTACCATAAAAGTGCCAGTTCTTACTTTTGGCAGAATCATAAATAAAAAAGAATATTTTTTATTTTAGACATAGGTATATTTTTTTATATAGATTATTAGATAAAATCATTTAATGTAAAACAAAGCCATGTCATTGACTCAGTCAACCCCAGAGCCAATTGACGTCAGTCGTCAACTGGTTTGATGCTATAAAACAACGGCTTGTCATTTGTTCGTTCGTTCGTCTCACACTGTCTTTGTACAGTTTGTAATATGTCGCTTCATTGAAGAAAAGGAAAATAATGCAGAATAATACTGCCGACTTTTCGATTATTCATCAACAAATATTCAAGCAACACTCTGATTTGTTATTATAAGAACTTGGCCTGCTGTTTCTACCTCTAACCATATTCTTTTATTCATTTTTTTTTAAACGCAAAAATAACATTTAGACTTCAATCTAATTACGTGCAATGACATCGTAACACGCAAAGTTAAAATTATCCAAAGGACATTTTGGTAAATTAAAGAAAACTGATTATGTAAAATGTAAATAACATAATATCTGCCGCACAGTACGATAGATAACTTTGACTAGGCAACATATTTTCGCAGATAGTGGCCATTTTAGTAAAAAACAAAACAATTCTTATCTATTTGGAATTATATTAGTAAAGAAAGTTATCTCAAGTGCTATAAAGTTAAATTTTGTGTTTTGCCGCTCTATCTGCGCATTTAGACTTTGGACGATGTCGCTGCAAACCAAAGGTCGGTTTTTATCTATATTAAAAGAATAAAAATTTATATATCATTAAAATGTTACGAAATAAATGTTTATCATTTACCTATTACACGAAACATTTTGGTATACATAAACGATAATAATATAACATAATGTTTACTAGATAATCTAAAGATTAACATTAATAGTAGTAATAACATTAATAGTAGTAACTACTAAAGTAGTTAAGACTGTTATTTGAGCTTTGAGTAGAGTTCTGGAATTACGACACTATGTATTTTTGTCCATCCTATATGAATTATCCTATATTAGCAAATTAGTTTCCATCCTCTACGAATACGAAATTAGTAGATTTAGTAGAGTTTATTTTTTATGTATTTATTTTTCAAGACTCATACATTTATACATCAGTTATAGTATTTTAATAATAATGTATTTATTTTCTCTCCACAAGCATAACAACTGAACATGAACCAAAGTAAGATAGACAAAAATTGTGTTTATATTATGTTTGCAAAAGACTGGTACCGAACCTAAGCAGAAGCTTGTAATATAGGATACAAGATCTCTCACAACAGACAACTTTCTCTTTCTCTTAATATTATGATTACAGAGGTAAAATTAAGTGTATGGTTAAGGTATACAATAGTGAAAAAGAAAACAAAATTTAAATGTATGAATTAACTAAACTAACAATACAATTTTAAAGGTTGTAAAGTATGCGTGTGAGTGTATGAGTGTGTGTGAGTGTGTATGTGTGTGTGATAAATGTTTGTGAGTAAAGGGTTTTGTGTACTAACAACTTAGGCTTTAATTATAAGAAGTTCCTCAACTTCATCACTTCAGACATTCCTGCAGAAATCTCTTTGTAGCGCAACGCATAATGACGCACTACTCACTCTACTTATAAGAAATTATAATGTACGTAAGAAATAATTTGTCTTCATTTGGTACTGTAAATGTTTCTGGCATCCCACTTCGCCGTACCGGTCATTTGAGAACAGTCCCTCGACGCATGGTACTTGCAGAGAAAAACCCGCGTGTAATCGGACCTACTTACTATGAGCGTTTACCTTCTACTCTCAGATTTGAACCGTCTGACGAAACATTTGGGCGCCGGCTGAAATACCTTTTCTTGAAAAATCCTATATATAGGAAATGAAACTATTTTTCCGGATTTAAATCGCGTATATTTGTTTTTTCAAACAAACCGACGTTTCGGGCCCTATACAGGTCCCATGGTCACGGTTGACAGTCAACCGAATAGTTTCATTTTCTATGTGTAACAATCGCAAAAATCTAAGAACGCGATAAATCCTATACATATACTCTGTAAAATAATTTATGGACTTTAAATTGTAACGAATTTAGTATTTTCTATTTTATTCTAATTTTTACCGCATTAATATACCTACTCTTGTATAATTGTTATCAACTTATGACGATCCTTGATGGAGAAATGATATTTGATATGCAATTTAATGACAACAATATTATATAATGAATTGTTAATTTTCTAATTATTGTGTGCTTTTCTTATAATTTTCCTTTTTGTCTGACGATCTCAATATAATTTCTTATACTTTGACATGTAGTGCAATTTATACTGTAGGTAATGTTATATTTGAGAAATAAATGAATCTGAATCTGAATCATCGTAACTGCGTCCTAACAACCATTTCGTGATTAACGCTCTTGCTTCATGTTTAGTGAGGAATAAAATGTTTAGTTTATTATTAATTTTTTTTTTCTTATTTAATAGTCCTTTTACGTTGCCTATATTGGCTACATAAACGAACTAACTAAACGTTTTTAAAATATTTTTTGTGCTATTTTATTGTAAAGAATCCCCTGTATTTGATCCTTGGTGATGGATTAACAAAACAATTAGAATAATAGATGCCTTGAAATATTGCGATATTTCAAGTTTGACAACAACATAATTGTCGTCAGAAACATCAATATTTTCAGGTTTATTTATAATTGGAGCGAAGAGAACACCTTTCTGCAAACATGGTGGTCTTCTACGAGAGCTACCAGCTTCTTACGCTTTCGCTGCTGCGGCAAAAGATGCTATCAATTCAGCCAATTTAGATCCAATGTTAATTGATCATACTATAATTGGAAATGTTAATTTTGTAAGTTTATCCCACACACTATGTCTACGATAAAATGTTTACAAAACTTTTCTAACCTAACGAAATAACGTCTTACCAGGACACTCAAAGGAAATTATTCTTCAGAGTCGTACACTGTTTACCGTAATTATTACATAAATGTTGAAGTTACTAAAATATTTACGTATTTGGTTTCATATTTCTAGCACGCTTATCCTTTAGACATAGCAATAGACTTGTACAATTTAGGTGTAAAGAAGTACGTAAATATGCCAAGCGAACATAAGAATTGTCTATAAAGGAAATTTTTATTCTTTCAGCTGAGCCAGTGCGATGGCGGAAAGACCCCTCGTTACAGCGGCACATATTCCGGAGTATCTTTGGATAAACCAGCTTTGGGCGTGAACAAAGCATGTGCCAGTGGGATACAGGCTGTGATTACTAGCAGTGTCGTAAGTTTTGTCAAATAAAATGCCAACGACATTTAATTTTTTCCCAGTAAAGTGAAAATGGCCTTCATCATTTGTCTGTACCGAAAAATCTTGTCTCTAGGAAATGCTAACAGGTGGTGCAAAGATGATCTTAACTGGAGGAACAGAAAACATGTCCGCTTTGCCACTCCTAGTACGTAATGTTCGCTTCGGAACAACTTTTGGTGCTAAATACTTTCTGGAAGACCATGTTAAGAAAGAAGTCATGGACAGTTTCACGGGAAAAAGCTTTCATAAAATGGTTGAAGATAACGCGAAAAAGTATGGAGTCACCAGAGAAGACGCGGATGAATTTGCGTGTCAAAGTTACTCGAAGTGGAAAACCGGTTAGTAAACATATCAAAGCATGTCATTCTGAAAATCTTAGGACAACCAGCTAACTAGTTTGTTGATAACAAAATTAGCTAGAAGTTGAAACCAATTGACCATCGAAGACAGCATTTCGCATTCGCAATGATCCCTAATAATAATAACAACCAAATTTCTGATATAGCCCCAATTTCTTTTTTGCAGCTGAAAAAGCCAAAATCTTCGATAACGAGTTAACCGCTTTAACGGTTACTATTAAAAACAAGGAGATTTTAGTGGATAAAGATGAACTAATCCAACAAAGCTTATCTACCGAACAACTCAAGCCGTTGCCGGCGATATTGGAGCAAGGAAGCGTCCTTACCACTGGAAACTGCTATGTAAGAGACTGTTACTATAGAATATTTAGGTACTGAACTAGATTTAATTTACGTCATGTATACAAAAAGGCCGGTGTCGTGTCATATAAGGAAGTCAAGGAGCTGGCTTATAAGAGAGATGATTGGAAAATGCACCACCGATTAGAGTAGGTAAAACTCTTAACTTTGATAATGATGATACAAAAAGGTGAGGCTGGCTTAAGCTGCTTTACAGACTCTACCCTTTTAGTAACGTTCGCTACAATTTGTATATTCCAGAAATTGCATAGCGCGTCTAGATTGCCTACATCCAATAAAACTAGCAGATGTTTTTTTCTGATATCTACAGTCCTCAAGCTTGTAGTGCTGGTGCGCTATAACACAGCTGAAAGCAGCTTACAGCACTGGAGTCTGAGTACGAAGTTTTGTACGATGTTAATAATATAACTTTAATGATCACAGGCGCCAGCTGACGGTGCGTCAGCAATACTTCTCGCCAATGAAGAGTCCCTCAAGGGGCACAACTTGCAACCACTTGTTAGAGTGTCGGGCTGGGCGACAGTCGGCGTCAACCCTGAGGACTTTGATCTGGGAGCTGTGGGAGCCGTGAGACGATTACTACACGGCCAAGGATTGAAAGTAGAGAATGTGGATTTATTTGAGGCAAGTGTGAGATGATACTTTGGAACAAAGAAGAATGTTAATTCAAATTATTTCAGGCTTTTCGCCAAAATGTACTTTGGCTTTGGACACAGAAATGGAAAGAACCATAGATTTAGTATTATGGAAAGAACAAAGTTTGGGAGACATTTTAATGAACGCAAACTAGCTTTCTCGTTACTACCATAACAAAAAGAGACGAGGTAAAAAATTATTGAAATTACAGTGCTTCCCATTAATGCAATCAGCATCTCGATAAATCGGTCCAATTAATTGCTTTTTCCCGTAGGTATGAATGCGAAAAATAATCGCACTTAATTTTATTTCTTTTTGTACTTGTATTTCGCGCAGTACTGAACTCGGCTTGGATAACATGGTCCTTCATAATAAAAATCATATTAATTGAGAGTTACAATATTGGTTCAATATTTGTGTTATTCAATATGAATGGGAACATGAATTTCCACTTGTTAAATTGGTGAGACAAACGAGAAAAGCACGCTTCGGATCGATTGATCCGGATTATTCAGAAGACTTACTTAAGAAATACTTAACAATTTCAGATAAACGAAACCTTTGCATCGCAAGCATTAATCATATTGCGTGAACTTAAGCTAGACCCAAGTAAGGTGAACGTGAGTGGCGGGGTCATCGCAGTGGGACACCCCGTTGCAGCAACAGGGGCGAGAATGATCACGCATCTGGTGCATCAATTGAGGTAAATTACTAAACGAACGTTCACATGCAACTGTACAGCGAAATGAGAAAGATTTCTCAACAGTCAAACTGAGTCAAACGAATGAAGGAAAAAATTTATACTAAAAAAAACCTTGTTTTGTTTTCATTGGTTGTGTAGCCTTCTTCCAAACGCTCCAATAGTAGGCCGTATACCAAACTGATTTATTAAATTATCTATTCCTCCATTGACTTACAATTATATATTCCTCCAACAATTTTCATTAGACCTTTAAAATATACTCAACAAAATTTGTAACCACAAAATACCGTTATAATTCTTGACTAATCTAACTTGAACATTTGATGAAATACGAATACATAAATTTTTCTTTCACCTAAAGACATTGCCTCCTAAATCCCTTCTTTTTTCAATTCCCGCCATTTTTTCGCAAGTAGGGAAATTTAAAAGCAATGTCATTGGCTAGTCGAACCGGTAGATAAAGTATTCGGACCAATCACAATCAACACCGACGCGCCATTTACACAATAACATTTCAGAAATCTAATAATATCAATTAACAAACTTTTAAATGAATACATGGAATAAGCTTAATCACCCTTATAATATTTAAATAAATAATTAATGAAAATAATTTTTCTATTTTGCGATTATATATTTCTTACAGTTGGATGCATATAGTTCGAACTGACCCTTTACCATAAAGAAAATAATCATTTATTTATGTATATATTTCTAATGTTATTTAGTAAGCAAAGAACATTATGTACATAATAGTGTAATAAAAAATATTTGTTTCATGTTTCAGACACCGCAATTTGAAGCGAGCCATCGCAGCATCAAGCAGTGGAGGAGGCCAAGGTGTTGCCATTATGATTGAAAACGTATAACATATAAATAAACGTACGAACTCATAAACGTTTTTTTTTATAATACTAAGCGACGGGACGAACACGTCGTGCGCATGGTGGTAAGCGACACGCCTGTCCATAACAGTTGCAGTGCCACTCAGAGCTTTAAATTACAATACAAAGATCAGAGGGACACTGCCACTGCGCCCGACACCCTGAAACATAAGTTGACAAGTGCCTGTAATTTCACCAGCACCCTTACCCTTAGATAGAATAATTAACGCATAGAATGATAGTTTCATATCAAACGAACTGTCACAAGTGAGGCAAAAACCAAATTCATGTAGGCGTAAGCAACTTGTAACTACTCTCGTCGGCACGCACACAAATATACAAATAATGATGCCATGGAATAACATTTCCCTCAAAAGTGGGGAAATTGTATCTTGCTTAACTCATCATTAAGTTAAAGGTGCCTACAGATTTGCCCGACATTGTCGATCAGGTGCCTACAGATGTGCTCGATTTTGTCGATCGTTACTGTCGATCGACAATGTCGATCAGGTGCCTACAGATATGCTCGGTTTTGTCGATGAAAAACGAATATAGCACTTATTTGTAAATCCAAGATGGCGGACACGATTTTTCAAAATATGCTATATGGGTATCCTTTTCGAGGTATTTGGGGATGCTCATTACG